GGTGATAAACATTACCATTGAAATCTGCCTGATGACTTTATAGACATACATAGGCACCAAGGATCCAAGCACAACAGATTATGACTAGTAATAATCAGATACATACAGATTAGAGATGCGTGTGCCAACATCTCAGTGTTAGTAGCAAAAACAATGAATCTGTCTACAAGGAACAATATATTCTAAAATGAAATGGAGATCTTTTTTAAACGTTAAAAACTCGTCCAATTTTATGTCTTGCAGGGCTTATACTGAGTTCAATAATATATAACTGTATTAATTCAACTGTGAACCTAGAAACTTGCACCCACTTGTGAAAGAGATGTACTCTTGCTCTGGAGTGTGTGACTGAATATGTTAAAGCTGTAGTGAAATGCTTCTTCTAATCATATAGTTATTAAAATTTTTTTCAAATGATTAAAAATATAATAATTCTTCAAAGCACAAAAATTTGCTCCTTAATAATTAGTAGATGTGTAAAACATTACCATTGAAATCTACCTGTTGACTTTGTATCCATGCTCAGATGCCAAGGAGCTCAGAAAGTAACCGACTGTGACTAGTAATAATCAGATATATAGAGATTAGAAACCCGTGTGCAAACATCTTAATGTCAATTGCACTAAAAATGAATTTTTCTGTATGAAACTGTGTATTTTAATATTGAAATGGAGATCTTTTTTAAAGGTTAAAACCTCATTTAATTTTATGTCTTACAGGGTTTATACTGAGTACAATAATGTAAACTGTAATAATTCAACTATAAACCTAAAAATTTACAGCAAATTTTGAAAAAGATGCATCTTAGCTCAGAAAATTGTTATTGAATATGTCAATGCTGCTGTAATGAAATGCTTCTTCTAAAAAAAAAAAGTCTTCCCAAAAAAAGGAGGGGGGATCTTGGGACTGGAGAGATGGCTCAGTTGTTAAGAGCACTGGCTACTCTTCCAGAGGACCCAGGTTCTGTTCCCAGCACCCATGTGGCAGCTAATGATTGCCCCTAACTCCAGTTCTAGGGGATCTAACAAGCTTTGCATGTACATGGTGCATTTATATGCATGCAGGCAAAAACATACACACAAAATAACAGTCTTTCTATTCAAAAAAATTATACTATCAATTATGTTATATAAATTAAAGGTTAGTAGTAGTAAGATGATAGGAACAAACAGTATAAAATGGAAAATTCAGTTTAAAATATATGAAGGAATTAAGAAACTCTGAGGTTAAAAGTTTGCAAAAACAGGCTTCTGGGCACATGGTAATAATTTATTATGGACAATATTTGTCAGTTCCTCCAAATGTCAAACACATTTACCATAAAATGAGTAGTACCAGTTGTAGGTCTATCTATCCAAAACAGTTGAAAACATGTATACATGAGAAAACTTAATCAGGAGTGTTGATAGTGATGTTGCCTATCATAGCCAAGAGGGGGTGGGACAGCTTACATGTCTTTCAACTGATGAGTGCATAAATAAATGTTTATATGTTTGTAAAGGGGGACATCATTCAGTAATAAAAAGGAATGGACTACTATACAGGTGTTCCAACATGAATAAACCTTAAAATATTACGCCTAGTAAATAAGTCATTTACAAAAGAGTGTATCATATGTATGTCACTTTAAATGTCCATATTAAGCAGATCTATACAGGCAAAAAGCAAAGTAGTCAACAAGGTAAAAAGGAGTGACCGCTATGATCCTACTTTGGGGAATGGTAAAAATATGTTAAAATCGGGGCTAGAGAGACGGCTCAGTGGGTAAGAGCACCCTCTGCTGCTCTTGCAGAGGACGCAGGTTCGATTCCTAGCACCCACATGGCAGCTAACAACCATCCATAATGCCAGTTCCAGGAGGATCTGACACCTTCTTCAGACCTCTGTGGGTACTTTACTCTATGGGTACACTTACATGCAGGCAGTACACTCATATACATCAAATAAAAATACTGATTTTTTAAAATCCCTTTAAAAATATGCTAAATTTATTTTTATTCCATTTATGGAATCATTGATTCCATTAATGATTGTACAACCATGTAAATATACTCAAACCAGCAGAATTAGACATTTGTCAAGGGATTCTTGAGATGCCCAGGACTTCACACATGCTAAGCACAGTCTTCCACTGAGCTATACTCCAGCCTTTGAAATATGCTCTCTAAATGGATGAATTGTATGGCATATGAATAAAACCATCACCAAAAAATGTTTAAAATAAAGAACCCTATTACACACCAAGTAATTATTCCCTAAAGAGCAGAAAACCCCAAATAAGAAGACTTTTCCCCAATGTGAGAAGCCTAGAACCCTTCTTCCTTCACTACTACAAGATTAATAGGAATAATAATGGATTCTATTTTCAGTAGAGAATTGGCTTTTCCAAGTTTGTAAAATTCTTCAAACTAAGGAACATTGAAGAGTCAGAGGAGTGTTAGACCAGGCGTTGGTCAGCCACTCTCAGTGGCTGTAACGTCACTGTCAGGAGGAAAGCAGTTTCCCATAGTGTCTTGAGAAAGTCCAGTGACTGAGGTTGATTTCCTGCTAAATGGAAGTAATTTGATGATGTGGTTCATTTTCCTGACGCCTTTAAACAGTGCTGTGTACCATCCTAGCACACACGTGACGCTTGCATACAAAGGGGTTGCTAGGTGAAAAGGTTTATTCTGTGCTCCATGGCCACATGGAGAAAACTGCCTATGGCAGAACGAGCTCATGCTGCAAATGGCTGCTGAACTTCTGTCTGCTCCCTCTGATTTCAGATTCTCTTCACTATCACTTTTTGGTTGCTCCTGAGGCAGCACCTCACAGAGCAAAAGGCCCTTCAGGAAAAGCGGGCTCTTTTGTCTGAAGTCAAAATCGGAAGTGAGGAGCATGAAGAAAAAGGTAAATGAGGGACTGGAGAGGTGGCTCAGCTGTTAAGAGCGCTGGATGTTATTACAAAAGACCCAGGTTCAAATCCAGCACATATACCGTGGCTGACATGAGCACACTTATACAATGCAGGCATAGTGTTCATACACATAAAATAAAAATAAATAAATCCAAAAAAATTAAAGAAAAAGACAAGTGAGTGTGGGAATAGGTGAGCACACATTTTTTTCTCAGCCAGGTTAAGAAAGCCCCAACACACCAGAAAGCCAACCTGCTTCAGCCCTCATGAGAGCCAAGCATGGACTCAGAGAGCTAAAAAACAGTAGTATAGCACGGAATTTTTATGTACGTAAATATTTGGCAACTATTTCTTTGGGCCCAGCTTTGAACTCTACCCCTGAACTACATCTTCAACCAATTACCATGTAACTTTCAGAGTGCACATGAGGACCCATAAGGAACTTTGTGGCATTCAACTTTTAAGAAAGTGATTCCCAAAAGAAGACAAAACTAGATATCAGAGAAATGTAATAATTTCTCAAGGCCAAACTTCTAGTAAGAATTAGAACCAAGGAACTGACTCAAGTCTCTTATGTTCAAATGCTAAAAAGAAGAAAAGGAAAGGAAGAGGGAGGGAGGGGAGGGAAAGGAAGGAGAGGGAAAGGGAGGGGAGGGGAGGGAACAGAAGGAAAAAGGAAAAGAAAAGGGAGAAAAGAAGGGAAGAAGAAATGGGGGGAGGTTTATTTATTAACACTTCTTTATCTTTAGTCCTTCTGCATAGGTAAATGAGAACCAAACTCCTTGAGCAGACCAATGAATACAGGTCTGTTTATAGAGCAGATTGGACTCTATCTCAGAAGTTAACTAGCCTTTCTTTTCCTTCCCATCTCACTAGCACTGAGTGGAAAGGAGAGTAGTGGTGCTCAGGGAATCTGGGCTGGTCACCTTCATGCAGTGGACCATGAGAGAACTAGCCCAGAGCAGCTATTTTTCATGTAGTTCTTGTTAAACTTAACCATTGACTTGTTTTTCAGCAAGGAAGGTGTGTAAGAGTCAAATCTTGCCTGGCTCACTTTGAATGTCTACTCATCAGAATGATTAACCAGTTAATCTTTGTAAGGAATGGTTAGCTAGAGATGAACAGCCTGACCCCCTTAGTTCATTATCATTTCCCTCACTCTGGAAACCATTGGTTTCTTGAATAAATAATTCAAATATAGGAAGCTTTGATGAGACAATGGAAGTAGCTTGGATAACACAATATCCTGGATATTAGCATATTTTAAAGCAAGATAAGATTTTTATTACAATGCATTAAATTGTTTCAGATTTAAATTGTAGTTATTCCTTTAAAGTACATTGTAATTGGCTTTAACTAGTACACTCTTAGTTATTTAAACCAAAGAATGCTTTTGGTTAAGATTGCCAGCATCAACCACATTCTTGTACTACTTGGGCTGTCTAGAGCCAAACAATTAGAACTGCATAATTGATGTTGTATTTTGATTTGCGTTTTCTGAATCCTGGATACTGGAAATGGAAAAAATGTTACAAGGAGATTAGTATAAAATGTTTTCTTATAAACTACATTTCAGGAACATGATGAGAATTGACTATCAGTTAGTAATGAATATTGCCTTGCTTGTTAGAACCATCTAAAATCATCCATCTCATTTAATAACTCATAAAATGCACGCCTCCATGTCCATATATGTCACACACGGCCATATCGTAGCTCTAGTCAAGAATAACTCCATGGTTTTCTATGTTGAAGACGAGGAACTTCAAGATATGCAAGTAGAAGGAGAGCCCAGAGAAAAGGAAGAGGAAGAGGAAGTGGAAGAAGATGATGACCAGGACATCATGAAGGTGCTAGGCAATCTGGTGGTGGCCCTGTTCATCAAGTACTGGATCTATGTCTGTGGGGGCATGTTCTTCTTCGTCAGCTTTGAGGGTAAAATTGTCATGTACAAAATCATCTACATGGTGCTGTTCCTGTTCTGCGTGGCCCTGTACCAGGTAAGTAAACAAGTTGATCCAAGTTTTTCATTGTCACGTCTGTTCCAGGAATAGAGGCAAGAACCTTCTGCAAAGATGAACATATTATAAAAATTGATTGATGGCATTCAAACATGATATCGTAAGAATCCTGAAATTCAGAATGACTCCATCCATTTGTTCTCTATTTTTAAAGATTATATTTTTTTTTGAGGTTCAAGCTTCTGTTTCTCTTTCTTCCTTTATTCTCTCTTATTCTCTCTCATATTCTCTTCACTATGATGCTGTCTAAAGATTATATTTTTTAAATAATCAAAAATAAAGGTCAAGATTTTTTATTTAAAAAAGTAATTTATATAATTGTATCATATTTTGAATATATAATCATTTTTATTTTTATTTTATGTGTATGATTGTTTTGTCTGCCTGTATGTAAATGCGCCTGTACGTACAATGCCTGTGGAGGCCAGAACAGGGCATCAGATCCCCTGGAATTGAAGTTAGGGGTGGTTGTTAGCTGCCCAGTGGGTGCTGGGAACCTAACCCAGGTCTTCTGAAAGAGGAACAAGTGCCCTTAACCATTGAGCCATCTCTCCAGCCACTGAATATATGATAATTTAAGAGCAATGCTTAGACAATCTTAAGTAATTGAGGATTCCCAAGGTTGCTTGTTTTGTAGGTTTTGAGATCAGAAAACTATTTGTGTGTGTATGTGTGTGCATGTATACATGTGTGCATATATATATGTATATATATGTGTGTGTACATATATATGTATACATAATACATCAAGAGCTTTGGTACCATTAACTAAGATTCGTTTTTTAAAAAATCATATTAAAATGAGTTAACTTCTCTATAAACTTGGTTTGAATTGATATTACAAAGGAGTCCAAGGATAGAAACAAGCATAACAAACAAGCATAACAGTAAAATATTCTTCCAGGTAATCAACAGAACACCTAAGACAATGACATTGAGCAAGAGTGTATTATATGTGGAAATAAAAGTTACATGTGAAAAGCTTCTCAGCAGAATTGATGAGTTTTTTTTAATACCATTAAGGTATTAAAGGTATCTACCATTGAGCATGGTAGATGCTCTCTAATGAATATTTCACATTTTTACTAAATATCAAAACTGATGTAATTTTCTCTAACCAGCAAGAACCATGCTGGACATCATTCCTTGAGGTGTCCTAAAGATGAAGTTTCCTGTTGGAAACTGTCATGCTGTCAGCAACTCTGTAAAGCATGTCCTCATGGAGGAGGCGGAAGCTCACTCGGGGTCCAGCAACTTGTACAAAGACGGTGACAGCCAGTGAAATTGGGATTCTAAGCCAGAGCTATCCAACTAAATGGAGAAAAGAACCTTAGAAATCTAAAACAAAATCGACTTTGTTTTCAAAGACTCCTATGTCTAGTCCATGCCTTATTTAAATGAACCAAATATCTTCATGAGTTTTCCTACAGCCATTTTGTTCTTTTCGTTTTTCAACATCTAATTCCCAGGTGCACTATGAATGGTGGAGGAAAATCCTGAAATACTTCTGGATGTCAGTGGTCATCTACACTATGCTGGTGCTTATTTTTATATACACTTACCAGTTTGAAAACTTCCCAGGCCTATGGCAAAATATGACTGGATTGAAAAAAGAAAAGTAAGCAGTTTTTGTGTGTGATGGAACGGAAAGAGGGCAAAGGGTTGAAAGTTTGAATGTGTTTGTTCATGACTTCTTTATGGAAAATTTTAGTAAAATATGATGCTATCAATATCTATGAGGTCCTTGAAGGCGAGATCTAGAGTTCTGCTCTCTGTGTTTCTTGTCAAGCTCTGAGCTTGAAATGCACTGGCTACTTTAGGAAGGTTAACTGACAAATAAGTTTCAGACCCATTTTAATGAGAGAAATGGTGATTTCTAGCATCAGTCCCATGTGAAACACACCTGCCTGATGTGGTGTCATGCCTTTCATTCTCCAGTTCAGAGCTCAGGTCTTCACTGAAGCTGGTGGTCTCACAGTGTGGAGCAAGCCTTGCCTCTTCCCTGTTACTAGCCTTGGACTCTAAGGAGAGGCGGGCAACATAGAGAAAGACATTTCTGTTGCGTGGTGACAGATACCACATGCTTCGGCATATGTCAAAACCCTTTCTCGTTTTCTCATTTTCTTCTGTAAATATCTATAATTAGCTCCAAAGCCAGCTAGATCTGGGTCTTAAACAAAGGATTATGTGTAACTAGATAAATACAACTGCAGTATTTCATCATAGATGCTTTTTTGAATACTTGCCCCGAGCCTGCGATACAACAGGAAACAAGAAACACAGTTGAAGCCTGTGGAGACAGAAAACATTTGTGCATGTAAGTGCACTAGAAATGAAGTGTGTCTGCAAAAGAAACACACTAGACTTCAGAAATAAGGGGGAAGTGTAAATAGGCTTCTCAGCAGAGGTATCATTCAAAGTTTACCTGAAGGACAGAGACCAAACGTTTCTTAGAAAAAAGCATGAGAGTTAGGGGCTAGGATGAGCATTCAGGCAGAGAGAACAGCAGATGCAAAGGCCCTGGAGCAAGATAGAGCTGGGCCCAGTGCATGGGAAATAAAGGAAGGAAATCAAGGAACGCTCACCTTCTGGGACCAAGGAAGAGGATGGCAAGAGAGGTGGGGTGGTAAGCCAGGTCACCCATGCTAGCAAGTGTATTGTATTTTATTCTTGTTGGAATTTTCTTATCATTGATTCTTCTTGAAAGATTCCCTGCATAGCTGAGGAAATGTGATATGCGAGGGGCAGAGTCAAGGTTACATCACATGTAATAGCAGTGGTTCTGTGAAAAATGACGGCATCTTCATCAGAGAAAGTAGGAGGAAGAGACAGGTAGTGGCTGTGGGGGTTTCCAGAGGCATGCAGACAGTGAAGTAAACATAGATGGATATGGTAAGAAGAATTGTGGACTTTGAACAGGGTGGATGGTTCCGCCATTCAGTGATCTAGGGAAGGCCAGAGTGGAGAACGGTTTTGCTAAGGAAAAGAGAGAGCCACGGCCATTGCTTTAGAATAACTAAGTGTGAAATGACAGCGCAACAACTGCTTTCTAGTAGAGTGTGGGTATGAGTGTCTACATAAAAGCACAGTGCGATTGATGGACAGCTCAGTCTTTGTCATCAAATTGTCAGATAAGTCCATGGATGTGATGAAATCTGTGGAGGAGCATGCACAGAACAATAGACCCCAAACTGAGTCCTGCAGTGTTTCAGTGGCTCTAAGCACAATAGAAAAGAGCAGGGTGGCGGGGGGGCGGAGAAGAGGAAGCCACAGATATGTGATGATATTGATACCAAAGCTGTTTCAAGAGGGAGAGAAGTGGAATGAAATAAGGGTAGAAAAGTAGCCACTGAATTCGGCAATGATGGGTTAATATTGACTGCTGTGAAGACAGGCTAGCTGGATTAATGGAAACAAAAACTTTAGGGAATGTTTGGGAGAGAGGCATAGGTAAGTGATAAAAGAAGTAACCAGTGTAGCCGGTGAGGGAGAGGCCAGTCTGTAATGCTAAGAAAGCCTCGTGCTGTTTGCTCTGTGTGTGACAGGCTTGAGGATCTTGGACTGAAGCAGTTCACTGTGGCTGAACTGTTCACACGCATATTCATCCCCACCTCCTTCCTGCTGGTGTGCATCTTACACCTCCACTACTTCCATGACCGGTTCCTGGAACTCACAGACCTCAAGTCCATCCCCAGCAAAGAAGACAACACCATCTACAGGTGAGCAGAGGAAAGATGAATGTCCTCCGGTCTTCAGAACGTCAGCCCTGGTACCCTACCTCAGCCAGGATTCCAAATCCAGCACCCTAACTTAGACTTTCAACCTTAAATTTCCTATTAGTATTGGTGCATGTGGGGTGGGGGGGTGTTTGCAGTCTTGAGAGCAGCTTTGAAGCACCTGTGCAGACTAAGTTAGTGATACATATTTTGTACCAGGCGGCTATTTCTTTTCAAGATATTTATAGCACCTAGCTAATTCCAGGAATTGGTTTTCTATTATTCTGGTTCCATAAGAAGAAAGCACTAGGGGAGCACACCAGAAGATGATGTTTAAAAGGTTAGAAAGGAAGAACCTTAGCTGAAGGGACAGAATCTGAAATTTATCATCTGCCAGAGTAATATTTAAGAGAAAGTAAAGACAGTGTCTTCTTGTGACTTTCTTTTCATCAGTAAATAAAAATTGTTTGTAAGTAGTAGAAAGGTTCTAACTTGTGCGTGATTGTTGAAGCCACAGAGGGCCGCCGGGCATCCTTCCCTTAGTCCCATCAGAGAGGGATTAGGAGCATCCCTCTAATGAAAACAATGATTTTCCTCTGACTCACATGTAGCCTGTGATTCAGATCTTGGGAAAATGCTAAGGCACCGAGCGAGCAAAACGCTGTGCTGAGAGGAGTCTGGAGGCACGACAGAAAATTCTCTTGTTTTTTGATTTCCAGGGAAAAAAGTAAGAACATTAGCCAAAGTAGCACTTATATTCATTTTAGAAAACACAAAACTTTTGATGGTCTGTTTGAGCAGGAACTAGATTTATTTATTTGTTTGTTTTTCTTTTTTTCAGTGTATGTTTTTATTGAAATTTTGTGGATTTCATACAATACATTTTAATCATATTTAGACCTGCCCTATCTGCACCCACCCCAGAGTTGTCTTATATGTTAAAGCCTATCAAGTCAAATTTGAATGCCCAGCTGTCTCTCGGTATGAGTTCATCCACTGGAGGCTGTTCAGCCTCTCCAGCATCACTCCCTTAAAGAATATCAACTGTCCTTCATTCAGCAGGGTCAAGGAACTAGATTATCATGTCATGGTTGGCTTAGGTTGTCGACTTGACATACCTGTGAAGAGGGAACCTGAGCTGGGGGATTTCCTCTATCTGATGGGCCTGTGAGGCATTTTCTTGGTTGTTGAGTGATGTGGGAGGACCCAGCCTACTATGGGTAAGTGCCACCCCTTGGCAGGTAGTCCTGGGTTATATAAGAAAGGAGGCTGAGCACAGGCCAAGGGAGTAAGCCAGTAAGCAGCATTCCACTGTGGTCTGTGCTTTAGTTCCTGCCTCCAGGTTCCTGCCCCGAGCTCCTGCCCTGACTTCTTTGAGTTATGAACTGTGATCTGGCAGTTATAAGATGAAATAAATTCTTTCCTCCCCAAGTTGGATTTGGTCAGTGTTATATCAGCAATATGGAAGCAAGTTATGACATATGGCTATCTCTGAAATGCTTTTATTTATGATATTGCAGGTTGGTTTTTCATATTTGTTTTCCTTCACCTTAAGAGTTCTCATTTTGAGCATACTCCACGTGACTATCACCATGTCAGTGACTCCAACCAGCAAAGCCAAGAGATGCCCCAGCACTGTGTCTTATGCCTTCATGCCACCATGTGGACAGAATGGGCAGCTCAGACTCTCACACATCACTTCTGTTTCCTTTAATGATAACCATAGGGAAAATGAGCAGTTGTTAGAACTTAAAGAACCCTGTAGACAAATTTGCAGGTAGGGAACATCACCTCAGTGTAAGAGTTTACAAAGATTAATGCCCTCATAAAAAAGTGACAGTTTTCGATTATCAGGATTATTGCTTGACCACTTTTGACATTGTCATATCTATGAATGAAATATTTTATATTTAGTTCTAATACACTTGCTTTATTTAACTATAAATATTCACCAATTTTTCCAAAAGCCATATTCAATAATTAAGAAAAAATTTAAGTGAGATGTGATGGCACATGCCTATAATTCCACCACTTGGGAGGCTGAGACAGAAGAATAGATAGCCATAAGTTCAAGGCCAACCTAGACTACAAAATGAATTCAAGGCCAAAAAAAATAGAGAATAGAAAGAAAAGAGGAGAAAAAAGAGGAGGAGGAGGAGGAGGAGGAGGAGGAGGAGGAAGAGAAGAGAAAGGGGAAGGAAGGAAAGAAGAAAGGAAGGGAGGGAGGGAGGGAAGGAGGGAGGAAGGGAGGAAGGAAAATCTTTTAATTAGCAAAACAGATGTGTATGTTTGTGAGATAGAATTATTGATCATTGCTACTGATAACTATAATGTTTTTGGCTCTAACACCCTTTCTTCTGTTCAAAATATATTCTTTTCAGTATTTCTTCCTGTATGCAGGAGCTTTCTGTGACTATTGAACTTAATGTCGTGGGTCTGGGTTTTCTGTTACATAATCAACAAGATACACTTTATACCGAAGAATAGAGATTTTCGTACTTTTACAGGAGTAAAGGTTCAAGAAAAATTTTACTAACTTAAAATTCTTTAAAAAATTTGGACATAGTGTATATGTGAAAACTGAGCTTGCCCCGAGTTCTCTTGAAGGTCATGTGTACACACTATGCTTATGCAGCTTTGGGGACTGCCGCCTCTGGCATGTATGTGCTACCTGCTTCCAGAGCACAGCACTTGCCTGTCGCATAGGATAAGAGACAGCAGACAGGATGCCCCATTCCACGATAGGATTACTGCTTCCTTAGCTTGTGGTTGTGGCTTAGCCCTGAGCATTCCCTGAACAGGGACTTTCCAAGAAAACTTAGGGTGGGAGGGAGGGGAGCTATTGGAACAGTTTAAGCACACGGGGTTTCACATTCAGGCCAATGAGAAAAAAAAATTCTAGAACTAAGGGATATTAAATAACTTTGGTATTTTGAGGTCTTCTACAGGAGTGTCATATAAAAGTGATAACATTTTAACTTAAATATTCAGTGTATTCACCATCTTTTGGAAACTCTCATTATTGTATTTCTCTTACTAATAGTTTTTTTTTTTTTGTCCCTGAGTCCTAATCAATGACTGTATTAAAATCAAAATGATGAAGAAAAAGAAATGTTTTCAGAGTTGGGATTGACTGCCACTCTTCTTTCTTGTTGTTAACTCTTTTGGGGTACTTTTTGAAAAATGACCCACAACTGGAGAGGCTCATTGTAGCCATTAAACTGATTTCAGAACTACTGTTTCTGTCAGTATCCCTCTGACATTTTCCTATCTCATATACCTTTTGTGTGTATGAGCACATGTACATATGTGCAAGGTATACATACATCACTTGTGTATGAAGCAGAATTTATTGTATTTAATCTTATGGAATTTATAGTTAAACTATGAAAATTTTATATCGTATATAAGAAAAAACTAATAATTTCTCAGTAGGCAATCTCAGAAATACCATTTTACTTACTATTGACAATTTATGCTACAAAAGAACAATAATATATTTGTTATATAATAATGATTTATTAAAAATTCTTTCACTATCCATTAACTGTATATCGTTGTAATTTATTTATGATTCATTTTAGAAAATTTCAGTTTTAGAAGACTGTAAAGAAAATATATTAACCATGGTCTACTTCGATGTTTTTAATTCTGTTTTCTTTGATATGTGTATCTTTAAAAAGCATCACTAATTTTCAATAAAGTGTGTGTGATGGGAAGGATGCAAAGAACGAATAGCATGTCATCTTTGAACATTTTTCCTGCATGTGTCTGACTTCATGTTGCTCCTGAATCTTGCTGCCCAGACAAGGCAGGAGACCCATGCAGATGAAGATATACCTGGTGACAGGAATAGTAAGAGACAGTCTGCTTCATTCATCTCTGTCTAACTGTCTCCTCTTTCTCTCTCACCTGTCTCCCATTGCGTCCCCGTGCTTCCATCTCATCGCGCAGCCATGCCAAAGTCAATGGTCGCGTGTATCTAATAATAAATAGGTGGGTATGCTGATGTTTTCTCTTCTTTTTGTTTGAAGTTGTTTCTTGACATGTTAAACTCTTTACTGCTTTATAAATGAGAAGTGATGTCCTCAACCAGTGGATGGTGGTCTCAGGTACACTCGTGAATGTATTTTGCAAACTAAGCCATTTGGTGTGTGGTACTGAATGGTGCTGCCTATAGATGTGGAAGTGGTCCAGGATCTTCAGCTGGTGCTTGGAATTTGAGTTTGGCCCTAACTTATACAACCCATTGATTTTATTCTTTGGTGGAATTAATTCAAGACTTGCCTGAGAATCTGACTCTTCACTGAACACGTACTTGAGAGCTCAGCTAAAGAACTGCCTCCTCCACACAATCCCGTCAATGCCAACATCCTGCTAAAAGTTATCTGCCCTCCCCCCAAATTCCCATGGCACTTGTCACTGCTCTTCTCCTAATCTTGCCTTATGGAACTCCATCCCCTGCTTGTATTATCTCCCTTGCTAGAGGCATAAGCTCCTTGGGTCTAGATACTCTGTGCCATACACAAGAGATTCCCTATCACTGACCCATCAGTCTTACCCATTAGTTGATAGCCATTAGGTAATTCCTGAATGAGGTGAAAATGGTTACAATATATGGTTGAAAACATCAATTTTTCAAATATATTTCTACTTGAAAGATCAACATAGTTTTAAAGAAGGATATTTTACATCCCTGGATTTCACAGTATATTCCCATACTACAAAAAGTACAAATAAAACAGTGAGATATGGCCCTCCCTTAAGATGAGTGTCTCCTGGCTGGGGAGCGAAGGAAAGCGATAAAAGTGTATGCAGAGGTATCCAAAGTACCCCAAAAGCACAGAGAAAAAATTCCTAGGGATCCAGTTTACACAAAGTATTCTTACTTTACCTGGTAAGGAAAGTCAATGATCCCTTCCCATCTTTCCATGTCTTTAATTATAAAAGCTACTAATTTAGCTAACAGAAGCATGCATTTTACAGTGAACGTGATTAATGAAATAATTCTCTGAAACTTTTGTTAGTGTTTCTGTTCCATTCACTTTGCTTTTAAGGAAAATACTAAGGTATACAACCCCGAATAAAAAACTCTGAAAGGTGGGAGGTCTCGAAGAAAGTGCAAAAGTAGAGCCCTTCACTGTGGAGAAGGAGGTGGATGAGGGCTGACTGGTGTCTGCCAGAGCCAGTGCGACTGTCAGCCAGGAGGGAAAACCCCAGCTCTGGCATTTTGCTGCTAGGTAGAAAAATAAGATGCACTCTAATTAACAATCTTCAGCAGCTACATAAATCCTATCTGTTCAAACAAAAGAACAACTCTCTGTCATAAAGCATTATCATTTATTTTTAAGAGATGGCTACATTGGGATTCGGAGTCACCCAAAATAACTAAAATCTTAAAGCGTTCCAATTTTGCTACTATCTTCTTTCCAGTGAACTCTCTCCTTATGGAGGAGAGTTTGAAGAAAGCTTAGCATAATCCCTTCATGAAACATTACCAAACACACCTGACTCTCATTTCTAATGCACATGTTGTATTTAAAGTGTGTCCAAATTTAATAGGACCTCCTCTTCAATGAGACTGATAGGATGAGTTATTTAATAAAGTAAATAAGCTTCCCTTATCTTATAATTTATTTCTTTTGTTCAATGTATTTCAAGAAGAAAACTATGCTTAGAAATGTTATTTCCAGATTTATAAAGAATGTATATCTAAAATTTACCTTATAGAATAATTACAATATAGACACTACCTTAAAAGGTGAGAGGGAAAAGAAAGTGTCAAGTATGGGTTACTTTGATAAAACTTGAAAATGTGATTTAATTGAAGGAAATTCCAACTGATTTAGCAAATGGTGTGAAATAGAATATTTTACCAGGAACGAAGTTCAGTCTTTCCATTAAACAGAAGCAGACCCATTATATCTAACCTTGCTTAGTCGATTTTTCTCAGATAAATCACTACCATACATGTTTAAGATACGATACTAGCTTCCCAAGTCAATTGCCTATATGTGAATACAACCTTCTAAAAATGCTAATGAATCCTGTCAAATTCTTTAAATATTATTAATATTAAAAACAGTACAAATTTGCAGCACATCTCCTTTTTTCTTACTTTAGACATTTCTAATATCTAATGAAAGGAATGAATACAATTTATATTTCACACATTCCAAATTAGAATCATTAAAAATTCATAGAATTTAGATGAAGGGATTTGCAATAGCAGAATTTCAATTTTTACTAGAAATAGTTTAATATGTAACTTTTAAAAATCAAGTCCTAGTACAAAATTAAACCTCTTTACATCTCCATGTCACACAATTTGTTTCAAAGAAGAGTGTGTCCCCAGGGACAGAATGGTCTCACCAACATTCAGTGAGTTGTAGTGTGAGCAAGCTCAAAGATACAAAGAAGACAGATCGAGCAAAACGGGATTGATGACTTCAAGAAGAGAGTCTCCAAAACACACACTCAGAAGAAAATGTGGGCACAGGTGGAACAGGACATAACTCTGAGGATACAAAGGAAAGAGTGGATCAATAAACGAGCAGATGAATGCCATCCACATCACTTAGGATGTGAAAAGGGAAAACCATTTTACTTCCCAAATAGACAATGAGAGGGCCAGAGTTCAGAGGGTAAACCACAATAAAAGCAAAGTCACCTGGACAACTGTAAAAATAAAGAAGATGTAGAAGAGAAAGTGAACTTTTTTAAAATATTTATTTATTTTATTTTGTGTGTATGAGTGTATTGCCTGCATAAATACACCTGTAGATAAGTGCACCCATGTCATGCAATGCCCGTGGAGGACAGAAGAGGCCATTGGATCCCCTGGAACTGGAGTTACAGACAGTTGTTAGCTGCCATGTGGGTGCTGGGATTAAAACCCGGGTCTTCTGCAAGAACAACCAGTGTTCTTAACCGCTGAGCCATTTCTCCAGCCCCCTGAGAAAATCAACTTCTTGTGGAAACTTAAATATGAAATGGTTTGAAGTAAGGAAATGAAAGAGAGTCTCTGAGCCCATCCTGTGTCTACTTGGAGTCCCAAAGTACTTGAAGTCCTTCCTCTGAACATCAGTTGCATGAGAGAATCAGTAAGGAAGCACAAGTATTGTAAATTCCATAGTCTGGAGCCCAAGGAGAGTTTCCTGGAGTAGGCATTGCTTCATTTTTTTTTAATTTAATTTCCTAGGGGAACAGAAACTGATTTAAGGGACACCAGCATTCCTGGGGACAAGTCTGGCTGCTCTGTGTAGCAGATTCTGCCCCTGAGCTCTGCGTTTGCAGTGGTCAGTGTTACACACAGAACAGTGAGCAAAGCGTGGAGAACGGATTCCCAGGAAGAAACATCAGCCTTTTCCCTTCTGAAAAGCTTTTATAAAATATACATGGGCTGGCAGCAGCAGAGTGATGGTCTACGTTTAGCGTCGTCCCTGCTGCCCATCACTGAGTGGCCTGTGCAAGAGCAATGTCCAATCCTGCTTTTTCATTAGGATGGACTTAGTACTCAGGAAATTAAAACCTAACATGAAAATCTATTCTTAGAAGATAATTCTTTGCCTTTAAATTTTCCTGTGTAGCTACTCATAATGTTAAACACTCATAGAAACAGCCTTAATTTTCAAAATATCATGTGAAGTAGTAGGCTCAATTATTTCTATCCTACAAATCAGCTGACTCAGGCTAAGAAGACGGGTTCAGTACCTCACCATGCCATCTATATAGGTGAGATTGGGCATATTCAGGGAGGTATGGCCAGAGCCTGCCATGTGAGTAGACACTGTTCGCATCATACCTTCTGCTCCAGGCTTTCTGATTCCTAAACTTCATGCCTGGAGCATGTACACATATTCTCATGACTGTATAATAAGAGATGCAACCCACCAAAATTCTCAGAAGGTTAAAATCCCCCTATATATGTTTTCCCTTCTCTTTTGTCATCCATCACAAGCCTATGAGGTTAGACTGCTTCGAGGGCTACCTGGATATTCCATGGCCCATTTCCTCATGAGAATAGATCAGAGTTGAGAGAAGCGTGTGATGTGGAGCCCAGGGCTCTTCTGTCCTAGTTCTGTCTGGCCCAGAGCTCTTGTAGGTGATTACAAATTTTTTCTTTACTTCTTAAAGGCTTCTTCCAACATCTTTTGATTCTGTCATTTAAATTGATACCCCTCAGTATTCCCTGCTCATGGCACAGCAGTTTGGGGCATCCTTGCTGAGGACATTTTGCCATGTGGTCCTCATCGTTGACAAGGAGCTTCATTCCACGAATAGCAGTGGTTATTAGGAACTTGTCTTTAGATCAGTGGGAAGTCTATGCAGACATTTAAAATGTAATCTGGGATCACACTTCTGTAAGTATAAATGACCAAATTCCCTGTCCTGATGACAGATGTCTTCTTCCTTAAACAGTGCTGCCCTGTGGCACTTTCAAAGAGAGTTAAGTGCATACTGATAACAGCAGCACCCACCCAGCTGCTGCCACACCCAGCCACAGTCAATACACAGACCTGACAAAGCAGGGTCAGAAAATATGATGGATGAGGTTAATATGCAGCATTTCTGTAGAAGACAAAAAGAACTTTCCAGAAATAGAGAGGATGAGTTAACCATTGACCAGCTTAAGATAAGACAGTAAAATGTCAACATAATCCTACCCCCAACCCCACGCCTAGGCTGAACTCTCCTTAGACATTCATTTTTCATTAAAATAACAGTTTGTTCTAGCATATTATAATCTACCTACTTGACCCCTGTTAAAGGGAATTTCTATTACGTTCTTAAAGTCCTAGGACAGTCTGAATTCATCACAGCACCTCCCTCAAACCATAGGCATGTTTTCAAGTATGAAATAGATACAGTAATGATAACTTAGACTTTATTCAGTCAGTTCCACTCATTTCATAAAAAAATTAACTAAATTTTAAAAAGGCTAAATGTCTGAAACTCCACACTATGTTTGTATAATAGCATTGCCTGATCTGTTATAACCAGGTTGAAATTTATGGTAATTATTGCAAACTGAAAAGATGATCAAGGGTTCCAGAAGACTTGTTCCTAAGACATACAATATTATCCACAGGTGTTCTTTACAACATTAACTTGAATATGAATAAAGGGCTGTTCATTTTTGAGAACTGTAGGAATATGGGCATATGACACATACCCATAATCCCAGTTACTTGGGTAGCTAAGGAAAGAGGATTGCTTAAGCCTGGGAGGTTGAATTCAGCCTGAGCAAATGTAGTGATACTCTGCCTCAAAAACATAGTGAGGAAAAACTCCCAGTTTCTTCTGCCCACTATGAAGTAAACTGGGGGACCCCATGCTACTGTCAGGATAGTGAACACTACCTTCCTGCATTCTCACTCAGGCTCCAGATCCCACACAGCCTCCCACAGCTGCCAGTCCACCATTCACATTGGTAACCTCTGACGGGATGCAATGCAGATGCTGTAACTCCTCTTGAAAGTGTGTGATTCCTTGGCATATGCTTTAGAAGCTGGTAGCATGGGGTTAGCCAATATCAAGGTTGACTAAGCGCATACATGATTTAAGAATTTGAAAAGACTTAGGTAACCCATGAATGACTCGATTCTTGCAAGATGGTTTGCTGCCTTACTAAAAGAGCATGATGCCATTTGACTTGGGAGTCTATATATTCTCTCCCTTGAAAACCAGCCATCCTGTCCACTCAGATCAGTTGCTCACAGCAAAAGCACGCTACTGGTGCCATTCTGGAATGCACTTGGCATTAGGCCGTCACCGCACCTGGCCTACCCAATGCGATAGTGGATGATATATAGCATGATGTGTGATCTCTGACATTCCTTATAATTCCTCTGTTCTCATCTCCTTTTTTTCCTTTCTATTTCAATTACTTTGAGCAGCATCAAGAAAAAATTACCAATCCACCAGAATGAGTAAGTCCCCCTGTGAAGTCATGAAATGCTTGCTCTACATGATGCCATTTCATGCTTCTATATCCTAAACTCTGACCATTTTCTCCTCCAGGAAAAAATGTCAAGTTTAGGTGTCAGTAGCTCTCATTCCTGACCAATCACTAGAACCTGAATAAGAAAATCTAACCAAAGCCGAGTTGACAGTTTGTTTTTAGAAAGAACTTAAAACAAACCAACAAAAAGTGGCAAGAAGCTAACCACCCCACATCACAAGGTTTTTGCACATGTGCTGATTTTCCTTGGTTTATCCTCCGTTACTTGCCCCTTGCTCACCTCTCTTGGCACCCTTTCCTCCTCTAACTCAGCTGCCCTCTGCCTACAGATTGGCCCACCCAGAAGGAAGCCTCCCAGACCTAGCGATTATGAATCTGACCACCAGCCTGGACAAACCTGACGTGCAGAAGTTGGTAGAGCCTGGGGAGGAGAGGTTGGAGGAATGCTCCAAGGAGGAGGAGAAGGGTGAGCCAGAGAAAGACAGTGAGGAGTCCGAGGAGGAGGAAGATGAGGAGGAGGAATCTGAAGAGGAGGAGTCATCAGGTAACCAGTCCCCATCTGGCAGCTGGCCTGACAGCAAGGGACAGAGTGGCTTTCCCCAAAGGACCTGTCAGTGACTAGGTCAAATACACGTTGAAGATTTTTGGTTACAAGAGTGATAACATTCCTATTCCAATTACTGCAATACTTTCCTTTTCATTTGACTGATGAGGAAGAAAGCAAATGACTGATTACCAATCCCTGACAGAGGTGCCTTCAAGAGATCCAAAGGGATGTGTCCCACCATCTGCTGTATCAGAAACTCATAAGATGGGTCCTACCATAAGCAAAAACATGCCCCTGCACAGGACCACTGATGACACCTGATGTTGCCTTCACACATAGTTCTTGGGAAAGCCCTTCTGAGGCATGTCCAGGAAACATAATTATGAATATATTTCTAGTTCTGGTCCAGTGCTTAAGGGTGAAACAACTGGGAGAGAAGGTGTGCAATTGCATCATTGCTATTTCAAACCAGAACCTGCTATGTTTTGGTCAGCACTGTGATTAAGCATTCCCTCTTGTCCTAGTTTGCTTTCTATTGCTGTGATAAAAACCAACTTTGAGGAGGAAAGAGCTTATTTCATCTTATAATTCCCAAGTCACAGTCTGTCACTGGGGGAAGCCAAGATGGGAACTCAAAGCAGAAGCTTGAAGCAACAACAGAGGAATCCTGCTTGCTGGCTTGCTCACCTACCTGCCTATACAACCCAGACCCACCTGCCTAGGGATAGCACCTCCCACAGTGAGCTGGATCCCCTACATCGATTAGCAGTTTTAAAAATGCTTCACAGACATGGATACAAGGCAGTTCAATGGAGAAAGCTCTCAGTTGAGGTTCCCTCTTCCCAGGTGACTCTAGTTAGTGCCAAGTTGACAAAAACTAACCAGCACACCTCTTTATTGTTTAGGTTATTTTTTACTGCTTTCTTCATAGACTTGGAATGATGTTTTAACTAGGAATAAGAATCAAATGACCATGTTGATCATGAAATGTTATCTGACAGAGAATGCAAAAGGTCAAGAGCTTGATCCTGTCGTAGTCCACAGAGAGTAGGGGAGCAGAGTTTCTGAGGCGACTGCTGGACTGAGATTCTGTACTCTTGGCTAGTTCTTTTCTGTGTAAGAGTAGAAAACAAAAGCTGAAAAACAGCCATGAGGCAGAAAATCCTTCTCAAAGGCATTCCCGGGGCCTGTGCCTTCTCCATCTCATCTCAGGAGACGCAAAGAGAGCACCAGATGCCCTCTCTATGTCTAGGTTGCACTTGCTCCCTGGCATTATGAGAGAGCTCTGCCAGGCAAGGAATTAAGACTGGAATTTCAGTTTACTTCTTTAAAGGGTTTTGAGCTTTACTAAGAAGGTCTCACCAAAATTGTACCTTGTGCCCTCACACCCTCATGTCTATGTTGTCCATACCTCCAAATTATATTCTTTCTACTTGTCACCTGAGTCACTCTGTAACAAGCATTTTTCACCATCATTAAAACCTCACTGCAGCCAGGCGTGGTGGCGCACGCCTTTAATCCCAGCACTTGGGAGGCAGAGGCAGGCAGATCTTCATGAGTTCAAGGTCAGCCTGGTCTACATAGTGAGTTCCAGGACAGCTGGGGCTACAAGGAGACCCTGTCTCAAAAAGACTAAAAAAAAAGAAAAAACCCTCAGTGATTGTTCAGATCCAAAGACAGTCATGTTACAGATACCTGTGTCACGTTGATATAACCATGTTGGAAGCAGAAAAAGACAAAACAGTCCTGTGAGGCTTTCAGTGGAGTTAACCAGTAAAGTGTGAGATTGATGCGTGTCCCTATGGTAGAAATAATACAGCCTGATTTGCTTAAGAAAGGTGATTAGAATGAATCTGACCACACTCCATGAAACCATGTTCATTCTGAAGGCATGCAGGCTATCCCCACCCACCGCAGAGCTGATGAGCTCACTTATTAAGGGAGAATGGACAGCCTTTTCCACTCATTTGTCACTTATGGTAGCAGTGTTTGATAAGAAAGATGCCATTTATAGAAAGCACTTAAGATTATCAGAGAATTGTAGCCTATATAGCTTTAAAAGTAAATTGGGACAAATTCTTTGTACTGATTTAATTAAAGGGCATATATAATAACATTGTCTTTTGATCTCAGCTTTTGTCCCTCATCCGCAGCATGACTTGGGATTCTTTGGCACCCCCTTTCCAGATTTCACAGAACTCATCCACCAGGACTACTGGGCAGATTATTATCCCAATCTGAAAGTTATAAGGTATGCTCTAATTAGTAACAAAAATGTTGATGCTCCTGGTGTGTTTTCTGTTTTGCAGATTTAAGGAACAAATGGCATCTGGTGATTGACCGACTCACTGTACTCTTCTTAAAATTTCTGGAATATTTTCACAAGCTGCAGGTGTTCATGTGGTGGATCTTGGAGTTGCATATCATTAAAATTGTTTCTTCATACATTATCTGGGTGACTGTGAAAGAGGCAAGTGTTATTTGTATTGTCAGGGTGAACAGAACACAGCAGATCTGCATTTTCTTTGTCCAAGTGTCCATGACATTTGTAATGTAATACCCTTTACCATGGGGATTCAAGACATGTGTAGTGCATATGCTGTAACATACAGAAGACCCAAGGTGAGTGGAGCAGAGAGGGGAGAAAGCCAGCAGAGTAGAGACCCCTGTGGCTTACTTTCCAGTTGTGGTCATATTGCAAAGGTGTGTGGGAGTGGGCTGCTTTCCTGCACCACATAGGGGAATCCGTCTCCCTGAGTTCTCTTCGGGGAAAGCAGTAAAGTTCCACCTTACGTTGCCAAGCAATAAACTCGAGTTCCAAAATGTAATAAAATCTTCACTAGAGCTCACCTTGCTTATTATTTTCTTAGATACGATATGAAATCAGTACTCGTATTACACTTCTGGGATTTTTTTCTTAGTAAAGAAAAGAATCATCATTCTGTCAGCAATTATTTCATGTTTACTGTGGAGAACGGAGCTTTCTTTCAATTTATTCATCAAATAATTATTACCTACTTCTACAACTGATCTTGGGCAAAAGACAAAGAAGCAATAATTTTTGCACACGTCTAATTTCTCTGAACTTCTTTTAAGTTACTTACAATTCAAAGAGTCTTTGCACTGTAAAATTATGTTGTTACTCACTGCCTATAATCTTTTAAAAGTTCAATAAGAGTAGCTTAAAGTACAACATTCCAGACTAAAATGTTTGGCAGAGATTCCTAGGGAATGGAGCTTGATTGGAGCTAAACAGTAGACAGACTAAACTACACCTTTGTCCAGTTTCATACAAATCAATTGGAGTGGATTGGTAATTGTTTTCAGGTGGGAACAAAACAGATCTCATTCCTCCCTGTGATGTCTGTAGCAGAAATAACATAGACTATATTAGTAAACAATCCAATCTATAAGTTAATTGGACCCAAAATCTAGCCTAGCCAGAGTTAAAAGTTTAAACTGCATAGGCAAATTGACTACTTCCTTTAAAACATGAAGGCCAAAATATTAAAAAGAATGGGAAAAGAGCAAAAGTAGGCATTTGACTAAACACAGAGGAAGACCATTTCTAAATTAAGCCAATCTGGCATGTATACAGCTTCTGATTACAAAAGCTGTGTCTCACAGTTGTGAAGTCCTGATAAGACACTTTGATGATGGAAGTGGGTGCTAATAACAGGAATTGGTGCAAGGGGGCTCAGAGCATCCCCTGTCTGAAGTCGAAGAGAAGGGTTAGGAGAGGGTAAATGACACCACTTTCTTACAAATCCTAAGCCAATAGCGGACAGTTTTAAATCACCTGTACTTAGTCTCAACAGTGGAGTCTTGTTAACAGACAATCAAGTATGTAAGGACCATAGCCTGGTCACCTTGCTACACCAACGCAAAACAGCCTTTAATGGAATATGATCAGTTCCTTTGTGATTCAAGCTGCAGACTTCCAGAATTTTCATCCTAATGCACCTTTCTAACCTCTAACTCTAAAATTCTCAGAGAAGCATAGAACCTCACCCAACCTCTCCTTTTCCTAGCATTCTTCAAATACCACCATCATAGAACTGTTCTAACACCCAGACAAGGTGGGATGCCCTAAGGGTGAGCTGTTGTGTGATGATTGGGTGCCAGCCCCTCTGGAGCTTTCCCCTCCGATCTCTAGGCTCTTAGCGTGTGATAGCTTCCTAATGTAACTGGCATACTAAGTGACTGACTTTTGATAAATCACCTTTATTTTGGACCACCATCACCCTTTACAGCTCATTCTACCAGAAAGGCTTTGCTCGAGGCCTGAAATGCAGCATGCTTTCTGATTAATTCCTAGGAAATACAATACCCTACAGTGAATTTCTCAAAGTACAAGCAGATCTTACTCTGGAAATTAAAACTGTCCCAGTATAGGACAATAATCAAATCTCAGGTTCCTCCTCTGGTCAGAAACGTCTCATTTTCCTAGCTACTTGCCATTTCTTAAGATCTCTCTGCACTTCCTCTGGTTACCTCCTTTGCGTTAGGAGTCCCCTGAGCTGAACAGGGTTCATATAAGGACAGGACCTGGGGTTTGGGGGTGGGGGAAGTTCTGACTTAACCTATGTGTCCACTCTTGTTAAGTCTACCCTCTCCCTCTTGGAGGCTCCTCCAGGGCTGTCACTGCCCAATCCCTGGGTCCCCAGCACAGCTTCTCTACGGGGTCTCATTGCGACTCTAAGCAGTGCTTCCCTAGAGCTCTCTGCCTTCTCCCTGCATCAGCACAATCCACTCTCTGAGAATGTCAGCCCTCGTCTAAGTCACTTGATCCTCTAGGTACAAATTGGATACCAGAGCCACCTAGCTTGTGGCCAACCCTCTAGAGTTTACACATCCAGGTTTTTCAGAAGCCCCACATCCTTGTCTCATGGCAATGACTGGTAAATAAAAACTAAAGTGACAATAACTCTGTTAGAGAGATTTACAGGGATCTCTGGCTATATTTGACTAGGCTATTTCATGCACAGTGCTGCACCCAGAGGTGACAGTTGAAGCTGTGAACTCTGAGAGGGAGGGAGGCCAACAAGAGCAAACAGGGATCAAAGCAACCCCAGTTCTCTCAGAGGACCCTTCTCACAAAGCTTCTCTTTAGACAAGATAACAGTTTGTATGAAAGTACTTTGTATGTTCAGAGGCATTGTGGTATAGAATTCTCTCCCCAGTTCCTTGATAGTAAGAACCTCTAGCATACTTGTTACATCCAGGGATGAACCACTGTTTCCCTGGAAATTCTGTTTCATTGAGTATTGTGGTCCAGGTATTATTGTTGTTGTTTGATTAGCAAATGGAATGGCAGATTCCTTTATGGCATTACCGTACATACTTCATTTTGGTTGATCCCCCTGACCCTGCTTCTGTCCCACGTCTCCCTGGCTTTCATTCCCACTGTGCCTTTCTGCCTCCAATGTTATCTCTTCTACTTCGTATCACATGTGTTCTGCTCCCCTCCCCACCCTTAAAACCTCCCTTTTCCTATCTCATGGGTCCCTTTGTTGTTTCCAGGGCTCTACCTGCACTCGTTTGCACATAAATACACATATATAACATGGCTTCATTTGTCATCCAAGAGATGACAAGCCCACGGTGCTGCAGGATAGGAGTTTGGAACAAGGTACACTGAGGTTTGCCCCCAGCACAGTCCCTGTTCTCTTTGAGACCTCTAGGACACTGGGTGCTTGTGACCACATCCTGTCCTGCACACCTTGTCCTTTCTCCTGGCCCTACCCCTGCTCTGGTTCTTCCCTGTGCCTCTCATTATCTCCCCTGAAGTTCCTCTCTTGCTGTCCCTGGCTCTAGGCCCTGTCCACAGCCTCTTTACCCTATTTCCTGTCTAAGGAGTGTGTGCATGCACTCCTGAGACCCAGTTACCACCCATTCACACATGAAAGGGTGCTGATCTGTTTTCAATCCTTTGCTCTCATTGATCAACTCTACATGACCTTATTTCACGTATGCCCCAAAGAACCTCTGCCAGTTCTCTCTGAAACTCAACCCACTGCCTATGTCATCTCTCCCTTCACGTAACTAAGAGATTCTCCACTTTGGCCCTTGTCTTTTCTCCCTCTAACTCATCTTCCATATTACAACTAGACCATCTCTCCAGGGTGTAAATGTGATCATGTTAGTCCTCTCTACTTAAAATGTGGCCACGGATGTCTCTCAGTCTCATAATCATATGGAGTAAGAACCCGATGCTATGGCTCAGACCATTGAACAGTGCCATTCCTGGATACTCTAGGTGATATAGGCTTCAAATCACAAGTCCCTCTTATTAAAAGACTTGCTTTTCAGGAATGTGCCAACTGCATATTCTCTCTTGTCTATAAGGCCTTAGACCTGCAATTCCTCCTGCCCACCTAGCTTCTGTTTATATACTTTACTTCTCAATTCAGATCTGATGTTAGCAGGGCCATCTTTCTCGCCATGGGCTAGGCTCAGCTGGGAGTCCCCATCACAGCGTGGCTCACCCAGGCGCCATGCTTGTTCCAGGGCTTTGTTATGGACATTTATGGACTTAGTACACCATTCTGCATGCTTGCTGAAAGCAGGGAATCCTCATGAGATGTTACCTTGAACCAAGATAGGACTTAATAAAACATGTTATCTTCTATCACATAAAAAATGAAAAATTCTGTACAAATTACTTATACCGCTTTTGTAGTCAATGCTTTAAATACACAGCAAAAGGAAAGCAGAGACTTATTTCACAATAAACAGCTTTAATACAATTGCTTTTTAACATTCAAGTTGACCAGAAATTTGACTGATGGAGAAGAGTCAATTCATTGATCAAAACAAATTGTATACAACACAACAGTTAGTGTGTTTATGAGCCCCTTCTACTTTATAGCTCATTCCCATGAACTGCATTTCTTTCCTCCTCAACTGATTCTGAAAGACAGCTCTTTCTATTCTAATATTTCAGTACTTTATCATTAGAGAGATTCTCTGCTTCAATACTGGCAGGTAGCTAAGTAGAAAAGTAGCAGGCAACAGGTTGCACATATACCATAATAACCCATTGATATTTTCTGATGCTATGGATTTGAAGGCAAATTTCCAAATTTGGAGCCTTACCTTCCATAGCCCATAGGACTGTGTACATGGTACATGTAATTAGTTACTTTGCTGTTGCTGTGATAAAATACCATGACCAAGGCAATTCATAGATAGAAGAGTTTATCTGGGCTTACTATTGCAGAGGGATAAAAGTGTCATAGTGGGGAAGCATGGGAGGAGGAGGCAGCCAGAAAGCTGAGCACCCACATCTTCAAAGCATATGCAGGAAGGAGAGAGAGAGAGAGAGAGAGGTATGACAAGGCTATGAACTCTCAAAGCCTACTCCCAGTGACACTGCCTTCCTCCAGCTAGACCACAGCTCCTAAAGGTACCATGACCCTCCCAAACAGAGCCCCCAGCTGACCAGGTGTTCTACTACTAGAGGCTGAGGGACACCTCTTATTCAAACCACCATAGTACATGTTCAATTTTTATACTGAGTGCATGCTATAATTTTTAGCTAAGACTATTAATGCCTCTAAGATAGTATCAAAAAAAATGAAGATGTTCCATGACTGAATAAGATAGTGGTGCCTCTGTATTCTTTGAGGAACTGTTAACTATTGTAAATGACTAGACCTAAGAACATCTTTCTGACTGATAAACTCAATTACAGCCAAAGCCAACATGGAAAAGTTGAACTCATTGTCTGCCCCCTTAAACCAGTACATTTTTGATATTTTGTGTCTCTGCAATGGCACTATCACCCGGTCAGACTTTCTGAAGAAACCTGGGGTTTTTTTTTTTCATATCTTCTCCACTTATAGCCTACCACTATGAAGCCAATGCCATCAAATCTAGCTAGTTTTAGTTCTCACCCCACTCCAGATGTGTCTTCCTCCACGCAACCACAGAATCATAGACTTCCCTACAACTGTGGAATCTCTGACCCTACATCTCCTCTGCCACTTTCGAGCTGGTCTCTGGCCTCCAGTGTAGCTCTTACATTTCGGCCTCTGTTCTTCTGTGGCATTTACCTAAATGTGATGCAAATCTCAAATTCCCCTGCATAAGGCCTATGAGTAGATCTCTATTTTCTAAAGAGTGAGTTCATGTGCCTTTGCATAGTTCAAAAGGGATACATCGAAACTTCAAGCTGCATCTCTGTTCTCATCCATGACTAGCCCTAAAGGTTCCTGTTGTCTACATCTGCTATCTCTAGCTTTCCTGACTTTGCTTCTGCATCCTTGACCTGCGGTGTACTTCGCATCTTCCCCAGGCTGGTTCAGCTCTTTGTCAACCATCTCATTGAACTGAAGACCACTTCAGGATGGTCTCACAGGAGCCTGCACACACCTATAGCTTAGCTATTGCTACATTATATTGACATTTCTTGTTTGTATGTCTCTCTGCTGTATGTGATATAGTCTCCTCAAGGCAATAGCACTTTGATCACCATGGTACCCCAACACCTAGGATAATGCCTTACACATGAAGAACCAGCCAGCCTTGGCTGGACTGGAGAATTGCATCATCCTGTCTTCCAGATGTCCTGCCATGCCAAATATTTTTGTCCCCATTTCTGATTTTATGTTTTCAGGTGTCTCTGTTCAACTATGTATTTTTGATTTCATGGGCTTTTGCTCTGCCGTATGCCAAACTCCGCCGCGTGGCTTCCAGTGTCTGCACTGTCTGGACATGTGTGATCATCGTCTGCAAAATGTTGTACCAGCTGCAAACAATTAAGCCTGAGAACTTTTCTGTCAACTGCTCCTTGGTGAGCCTAAAACATGGGGGTCCTTCCTCACTGCCCTTAAGGGAATCAGAGATATTCGGGGAGCCTTCACCCCCAAGCACATTCTGTCTAACTTGTCAGTCACCTCACCCAGGTTGGATCTATTCTGGCTCTGTGATGGATCTAAATCTGCCCTCAACCTGAGAGTCCTCTCTTGAAATGGGTCCTAACGCTGAAGGAGCACGATCTGAGCTTTCCCAATCTCACGGGCCATTTTCACTCCGTTTTCTCTTCTTTTCAGCCAAATGAAAACCAAACCAACATACCACTTAATGAGTTGAACAAGTCTCTGCTCTACAGTGCTCCTGTTGATCCCACTGAGTGGGTTGGCCTGAGGAAGTCTTCCCCTTTACTTGTCTACCTGAGGGTAAGGCTTTTTTGTACCTATTTTGGGCCCTTGTGCAGTTATACTTTGGGATCTTCTCCCCCTTGAAACTCTTTTCTTAAAAATATTCCTTTATTTATTTTATGTATATGAGTATCTTGCTTGCAGGTATATCAGTGCACCCATATTTAAAATGTCTCAGAGGCCATAAGAGGGCATCAGATCCCCCTGGAACTATGGTTACAGATGGTTGTTAGCCACTATGTAGGTACTGGGAACTGAACCAATGTCCTCTGGAAGAGAAGCCAATGTTCTTAACCACTGAGCCATCTCTCCAGTACCCCCTTAAGACTCTTAATATCCCATTTGATGGTAATTTTGTCTCCTTAGGTAACATTTAGAATCACCTTTGCAGCAAAATGGCTAAATACTGAAATCTGTACTACATTGTGCTAAAAGGCAAATTGACCAAGCAGTCTGACCTGAGTTCTGTGAAATACAACAAAAATCTTCACTAGCGCCTCATGTAACCATTTCAAGTGCAAGGCTGATTGACACACCAGAACCAAAAATAGTCCAAAATACATTATTAAGTTTTTTAAGAGAAAATTTTAGAACACTGTGGATAGTGTTATTTTTTCTAGACTCGGAGAAAAAACACTAGATAAAAATCTACCAAGTTGTCCGTAGTGGTTGTTTCTGAGAAGGCACCATAACAGCATTATGAGAAATATTCGCTCTCTAAACTCTGCTTCCTGAATCTTTAATAACGAGCACATATTAGATTTCAAAGTAATACAGCATATCTCTACAAAAAGAACCTCAGTTGCAAATAGCCATAGAAACATAATGAAAACGAAATCATTTAGAGTCTTTTGCATTTTATGTTGATGAATAACTCAAGCAGTCTCGTCCTATTACACTGACAAGGCACTTAAAGGTAAAACCTTTATACTCAGCACCTGAGAGTGTTAAATGCACTAAATGTCCCCTTTTTGTGGAGTTTCTGGAAGATTTTTTCATATGGTGACATCTAGATTGGCTCCTGGCCCAAGAGCTGTCAAAAAAAATAAAACAAAGCCAGGCGTGGTGGTGCACGCCTTTAACCCCAGCACTTGGTAGACAGAGGCAGGCGGATCTCTGTGAGTTCAAGGCCAGCCTGGTCTACATAGTGAGTGCTGCGGCTATAGGGAGACCTTGTCTCAAAGAGACCAAAAAAAGCTAGCTGAACAATTCAGAGAAAGCAAGCCAGTAAGAGCTTTCTTCCATGGGTTCTGTTTCAGGCTCCTGTCTTGAGTTCATGCCTATCTTTGGTTTCCCTAGATGACAGACTATAATCTGTAAAATGAAATAAACCCTTTCCTCCCCAACATGGTTTTGGTCACAGTATTTATCACAGTAACAGAAAAGCATATTAGAAAGCTAGGAGTGCTGGCACATGCCTTTAATTGGGAGGCAGAGGCTGCCGGATTTCTGTGAGTTCAAGGCCAGCCTGGTCTACATGGTGAGTTCCAGAACAGCTGGGGCTACAGGGAGACCCTGTCTCAAAAAGACCAAAAAATAAATGAATAAATAAATAAATAAATAAATAAATAAATAAATAAATAAATTGGTGTCTGGAAAGGCTACAGAGAACAGCGTCTGGCACCTGCTTCCATACATGTCAAATCTCTTGTCATTACTATCATGATTAGGTGTTGCCATCAAAGGCTTGCTTCTCGGTTTGCTTCTCTCTGGCCAGACTACAGAGGTGTTAAATCCACCCTGTAATAATCACCCTGTCCTCCAGCTCAATAGCTTCTCCTACCCTGTTTATTTTTTAGCACTTAGAATTGCAAACAAGGTAGGAACTTCCCTCCTCAGGAGACTGGATGCTGCTCCCTTGGCCTGTGGCATATACTTATCAATAAATAGAAAAAGCAGCCAGTCTTGTGTCCAGAGAGTCTAGATCTTCTTACCACAGCAGTCAACCCCATGTCCATAAAGGGCATGGCAACTGTAAAGTTCCTACCTTGGGCTCCCTAATGAACTGTGACTCCCCAAGTTGGTAGTGGTCAGAGTGTTTTGTTACAGCAATGAAGAAACAAACCAGGACAGAGATTGGTACTAGAGAGTAGGATATTGCTGTGACAAACCTGACCTTGGTGTTTTGGGGAGGACTGTGGAAGTGTTTCAGACTTTGGGCTGGAAAAGCCATTGTGTGCTCAGAGTTTGTTGCAATGGAGCTTGGAACAGTTATGCTGAAAGAGTTGTAGATGATGGAGGCCCGGCTTGTGAAGCCTCAAAGGGAAGTGGAGACTATCAGGCTGTTCACGTGAGATTTTGGATTGAGAATCTGTGGGTTCTGGTCGGCTGGGGCTGAGGAATCAGCTGTGATTAGGAGGAGATCAGCACCTGAAGCAAAACCTTTGCTTTACTGGGACAATTGATGCTGGTTAGCTGGGGCTGAAAAACCAGCTGTAAGTAACAAGAGACTAGCATCACTGTGGTGAAGTCTTCTGGGAGGTATTTCCTCAGGGTCAGCACACAGAGGGGACCCGCACCTCTATTTCAAGCTGGAAGCAGGACTTGGCAATGTGTCAGAGTCTCTTGCATTACCAAGAGACTGTGGGTTCTGGTGTTGAAAATGTGAAGGGGTCATAGAGAGCAGCTGAGGCTTGGCACTCTGAGAGGCCAGGAAAGGCCATAGGTGAAAGTGCAGCTTCAGTTGCAGCGAAGACCCCAGAATTGAAGAAGTCATGGAGAGAAACTGAGGGTTTGCACCCCAAGAGGCAAGAGGCCATTGGTGAGGGTGTAGCCTCGGTTTCAGTGGCGACCCCAGCTTTTTGGAGATGCCGAGACCATGTGACGACCACCAAGGACAGCGGTAGGTGTGGAATGGAGCTGGCCTGGGTCTGCAAGATGGGCTGGGTGTGCTGTGGACTGCAGAGTTGGAGCAATGGAGCTGCCAGTGCCCTTTGGAGCCAGAGGATCGTGAGTGAATCCCAGATGTCCAGCCTTGAGCTACTTTGCTGGACTTTGGTTTTTCTTGGGTGTGCCCGATTCTTCCCTTTGAAATAAGACAGTACTTGTTTTGGATTTTACAGAAGCCCACCCACAGTTGAGACTTTTAAAAGAGACTATGGACTTTTAAGTGTTTGGATTATTTTAAGGACTGTGGGGTTTTTGAGGTTGTACTGTCTTATGTTGTGATATTAATGTTAACATCATAGCTTGGGGACAGAAATTGGAAAGCGTATGGTTTAATGGTGATGTGTATGTCAGTGAAGTTGACAAGGGGTCAATTGTGCTGGATAGCTTTAGTGTCAACTTGACACACCTGGGTTGAGGGAGCCTCAATCTGGGAGTTGCCTCTATTGGACTGGCCTATGGCCATGTCTGAGGGGCATCTTCTTGATGAGTGATGTGGGAGGGCCCAGCCACTGTGGGTGGTGCCACCCCTGGGCAGGTGGGCCTGTGTTGCATGGGAAAGCAGGCTGAGCAGGGGCCAAGGGAGCAAGCCAGTAAGCAGCGTTCCTCCATGGCCTGTGCTCCAGCTCCTGCTTCCAGGTTCCTGCCCTGAGTTCCTACCTTGGGCTCCCTAATGAACTATGACCTGGGAGATGTAAGCTGAATAAACCCTTTCCTCCCAAAGTTGTTAGTGGTCAGAGTGTTTTGTCACAGTAATGAAGAAACAAACCAGGACATAAAGCATTGCTTTTTTTAGACCTCCAGAAATTAATACTGATTTACTAGGGCTAGAATAGGAATTGCTCAAAATTACAAAATCACAAAGCATTTGGCATACACCGTTGTGCTTTCTTGTTTGCTGTTTGTAGAATAACCTCCTGATGTTGGCAATTTTGGCCTTTGAAGTCACCATTTATCGCCATCAGGAATACTATCGAGGCCGGAACAACCTGACCGCTCCAGTGTCGAAAACTATCTTTCACGACATCACAAGATTACATCTAGATGATGGGATTATTAATTGTGCCAAATATTTCATAAACTACTTCTTCTACAAGTTTGGCCTAGAGGTGAGTTTTCTTGCCCGTGTGCTTTGTTTCTTTTAATGAAAATTTAAATAGATTCTTTGGGCCAGCTGACCACTGAAGCTCCATTATACAACTCCAGTTCTTGATCCAAAGTTACTTATGCTGACACATTAGCCTGGCTCAGCTGGGAGTTTTCCAAGACCAGGAGCCAGCATCCCACTCCACTCTGCAGCAGATCTCCTGACCTCTAGGCCTCTTGACCCATCTAAACACATGACTATCTGTTATCATCTCAGTTTCCTATTAAGAATAAAATAGTGGGGCTGGAGAGTTGGCTCAGCGGTTAAGAGCACTGGCTGTTCTTGCAGAGGACCTGGTCCAGTTCCCAGCACCCACATGGCAACTAACAGCCATCCATAACTCTGGTTCCAAAGGATCTGGCACTCTCTTCTGGCCTCTGCAGGGAATGCATGAAGGTGGTGTACTTAAAACATGCAGGCAAAAAACTCATACACATAAAATAGAAATAAATACACAAAAAAGAATAAAATAGCACTGATTTTCTTCTGAAAGTGTAAACTGCCAAATGAACTGTTGTGACCTGAAATAGTGGTGATGGCTTCATAACAGAATGGATGGAATTCTGTATAACAACCTATGATGGAATTAATGGAACAAATTTACAGTGGTGATATCTGATGAGGGCATCATAGCTGTCATCCTCCCTATTTGAAGGAGTTACTGTGAATGGCATAATCAGTTCCCTCAGAAGTAATCTGTATAGTATTTTTCTCTTCATGCTAAAAGACCCCCAAAGGAGTGAGACTCCTCAAGACCCTGTGTGGACAGACCTGCTTGAGGAGTCTGCCCTGCTCAGCTGACACCACTCCCCTTCCCTGTAAACCCGATCTTTCTTGCCTCTTGTCATCCTTATACAGACCTGTTTCCTAATGTCAGTGAATGTAATTGGCCAGCGAATGGATTTCTACGCCATGATCCATGCCTGCTGGCTGATTGGTGTCTTGTATCGACGCAGAAGGAAAGCCATCGCTGAGGTCTGGCCCAAGTACTGCTGCTTCCTGGCTTGCATCATCACTTTCCAGTACTTCATCTGCATCGGCATCCCACCTGCCCCCTGTAAAGGTGAGGACTCTGCCTGGAGCCTCTGCTCCTAGCAACAGCCGTTGCCAGTGGACTGCTGAGAAGGGCAATGATGTGCCAGGGAATTGATTTTGCTGCTCATCCCTGCCCCCTGCAGATTACCCATGGAGATTCAAGGGTGCCAACTTCAACGACAACATCATCAAATGGCTGTACTTCCCAGATTTCATTGTGAGGCCCAACCCTGTGTTTCTTGTCTGTAAGTGTTTTCTCTTTGGGACCACAGAACATAGGTATTGGGGCTTATATTTATTCATTATTCTTCATATATCATTAGTGCCTTTACTCCCTCCTCTGGACTTCATTAAGTGTGTGAAGGCTTGTCTTATGTATTAACATTTTAGGTCAGTAATAGCTTCTACTTGCTCAGTTCCATTTGCAAAATAAATAAATTAACGTTGAAGTAGTTTATTTACTTCCAACACCCCCCACACATGCACTTGTACCTACATGCCTGCCTTTTCAGAGACTAGATAGGAGACTTTGTAAGCTGTGACTCTGTTTCCAGTTGCCATGGCATGCAAACCAAAATGAAAGGCAGAGGTGTGGCCCCAAGAGGAGCCCACAGATGTTGGAGTCCTGAATGCAGTCCAAGCCTTCCAGAACAACTAGCCAAGGGATGGTTGGAGCAATGCCCCCAGAGCAGTAAGGAGTGGTGGTGCCATGGAAAAACTCCAGAATTAACTCCCCTGACTTAGAAGGTTCAGGGGTAATTTTAAAACCAAAGAAGCCACCTGTGCCTCAGGGACAGTCCAGAGGCCTAACTTGGGGGTCTGTTCTGGGCAGCTTTTGGCTGTGTCTCTGTCCTTCACAAGCTATCTGCCTTTGCCACCTGCTCTTGACCATTCATTGTGACTGAGCTCTGAGAAAGCTCTGGTTACAAATGCAAAGGGAGGTGGTGAGATTAAAAAAGACCAGAAATGTCTGCTCTGCTGCATGTGAAAAGATGGAGACAGCACTCCAGTGGCTTCCTCAGCCCTGGTAGGACGTAGTAGCACCTAGAACACGGACATAACAACATCCAGACACCACCATAGCAAGCCCCTGACACATCATGTTCTCTCCCTCGCCCCCCATTCTGGGATAGGAAGTGAGGGCTTGGCCCCAGCCCTGAAAGCCAATATGCTCCTTGGAGACACAGGTGTGTTGTATGCTGACTGTGTGAGCGTTCTGGATCTCAAAGAGCGGTCTGCCTTTGCCTTGCCAGATGACTTCATGCTGCTCCTGTGTGCCTCCTTACAACGGCAGATTTTTGAGGATGAAAATAAGGCCGCTGTGCGTATCATGGCTGGGGACAATGTTGAGATTTGCATGAACCTTGACGCAGCCTCATTCAGCCAGCATAACCCTGTACCAGACTTCATTCACTGCAGGTAATCACAGCCTCTCCTCTTCATAGACCTCCTTGGTATGCGAGTGTACTCAGAATGGCCCTTTACTGCCATTCTACCCGTGGATCACTGGAAGTAGATCAGCCTCAGAGTTACACCTCTGTGTCCGCTTTTGTCACTGTGGAATTTCTTTTATTGCCTCAGTGTCTTCTTCTAACAGAAACTGACTTGGGCCGGCAATACCAATAAGCAGCTCTCTAGTCGGGACCCCTCCGCTGTCTCCTTCTTCCTCCTCCTCACTCTCCATCCTGCCTCCTTCTTCTCTATCCATCTTTACCCCTCCACCCGCATCCTTTCTTTCCATCTGCTTTTTTAACCTTCCTCTACCCTCTCTGTCCTCACCTGTCTTCTTTATGACCCTTCTTTCCTCATCCCTATCCCTCTTTCTCATGCCCATTGTCCCTCCTTACCCCTGTCCCTCCTCATCACCCCTACTCCTATTCCTATCTTTATCCTCCCTCCTCTCCTGTGTGCTCAGGATACCAAGGAGCGAAGACCGAGAGCCACTCTGGCTGGTTCTGTCCATGTAAAGTGTTTCCCGGGTCCTACATGGCCTCCCTTTATAGCACTTGGTCTACTCTTGGCTCAGTTTCTTGTGGCGCATTCCTTCTGTATCTTGGATTTTCCAGACCTAGTTTCATTTAGAGGCCTGCTTTGAGGCAAGTCCCAGTCCCCTATATGTCCTCATCCTTGAAAGCCTTAAGACTCCCTTCAGCCACAGTGCAGAGTCTGGCAGCACCATGTGCTCTTGGGTCCTTTTACTAGCTGGGTGACTTGGGCCGGGTCCTCCAGCCTCTGCTCCTCCTGATGGGAGGATGTGAGCAAAAGCAGGTGTAAATTGTTGAGATTACAGATGGCATTTGTGTGGAACTTTCTAGGTTCTAGCTCCAGAGATGTGTGGTGTACATCATCTTCTCCCTCACAATGCCATTTTAAATACCTACCTTAGCCACCCTTCTAAAGTGTAGAACTAGAGGGCTCTCCTAATTTCATTCTGTTACTATAACAAATATTATGACCAAAATCAACTTAGGGGAGGAAAAAGCTTATTTGGCTTAGACCTCCAGGACACACTCCATCAATGGGGGAAGTCAGGGCAGGAAACTGGAACAGAAACCATGGAGGACTGCTGTTTGCTTCCTCACTTATAGGTGCATACTTAGCTCCTTTTCTTTTTTAGAAATAATTTTATTTATTATCTTTATTTTATGTGTATGAGTATATTGCCTGCATGTATGTAAATGCCCTATGTCATGCAATGTCCTTGGAGGTCAGAAGAGGGTGTCGGATCTCCTAGAACTGGAGTTACAGACAGTTGTTAGCTTGAATGTGGGTGCTGGGATTCGAATCTGGGTCTTCTGCAAGAGCAACCAGTGCTCTTAACCACTGAGCCATCTTTCCAGTCTTTAGCTACTTTTCTTTTATAGCCCAAGACCACCTTCCCGTTGAATGGTGCCTCCTACATCAATTAACAATCAAGACAGTCCTCCCACAGACTTGCCCTCAAACCAATCTGATCTGGACAAACAGCCCTGGCCTACAGCTGTAGTACCTACTACGTACAGAGCAGCCCAGGCTCTGCAAGTTTCTATGGTTTATTTAGGAATTCTTAGGCCCTGAACTCCTGTCTCACCTTTCATCATAAAGAACCACTGGGAGGGATGCCCCCCTCCCCCCAGCAAAGAATCCTGAATCAGCCAGCAGGTATCTAAGGACAGAATGTCAGTGTTGTTCTTCCCTCTGTCAGAAGTTTTTTGTTTGTTTTTTTTTAAACCTCCAGTGAAATCTTTCTGTATGGTATGGGTTTTCTTTCATCAAATAATGAGATTTTCTACTTCCTTGAAAGTAACCCATTGTTCTCTTTCTTTCTCACCAGACAAGAGGCAGCTGTCTCTTAGAATGTCTTTTGTCTTATAATCATTTGTGCCTCCCATAGAAATTTTTGAATATTCATGTGGTATGCAGAATGTTTTTGTTTTATGGGAAATTTGACACAAATAAGATGATACTCATACCTACATGCAGTGTTCTCCCAACTTACCTCTCTAATGCTGGTTATGTGCAGAGGTCTGCACAGAGCTCACCATATAGTTGGCAAAATCCTTTTATGGATAGTCCAGAGTCAAATATGAGGTTTTTCTGCACTTCTTAAAGTAGAATTCCTGACTTCCTTTTACAGTTATCCTTTCATTATTGGGTTTTGTTTCCCAGATCATACTTGGACATGTCCAAAGTGGTCATCTTCAGCTACCTCTTCTGGTTCGTCCTCACTATCATCTTCATCACTGGAACGACCAGGATCAGCATATTCTGCATGGGTTACTTGGTGGCCTGTTTCTACTTCCTGCTCTTTGGGGGTGATTTGCTACTGAAGCCCATCAAGAGCATCCTACGCTACTGGGACTGGTTGATCGCATACAATATTTTTGTGATTACAATGAAAAATATACTGTCAGTAAGTGACTCTTACTATGTAACATGCTTGTGGTCTCAGTTAAGAGTAAACAATCTACTTTGTGGTTGTTAAAAGCCCTGGTGTCTCATGTGACTCTCTTAAAAGCCCCAACCAAGATGCTGCAAATTCGGGCTTCCATGACTGTCCAATAGTCTTGGTTCTGCCATGTTAAGCATTTCAGGGTCACAGGATAGAAGATTCTGCAGTCAACAAATAAATTCTAAGATGTTTTATTACTCAAAAGGAACAAGTTTTCATCTCTCAGATTTTGTACTATGAGGCATCCCTTTTATGACTGAATTAGGGCCACTGAATCTTTCTAAAGTCAAGTCATGTACATCAAAAAGCAACTCTCTTCCCTAGAAATAATTGTAGAGTATAAAAAAGCTGAGAATTCTCTGGAATTCTTTGTGGGTTGGTGTACAATGAGGTAGAATGGGCTACTGGATGCAGGAACCATTTGTGTACCCAGATAGATACGAGAAAGAATTCAGCATTGGATTACTTCTCAGCATACGTATCAAGAGTAAGGCCCTGTGGAAAAAACTTGGGGCTGAGGAACAGCACATACTACTTTCTGTCTGTCCTTGGGCATAACTTTTACCCTAATGTTATAAATAATTCACATTACCCAGGGATAATTCCAGAATCGCATCTATCCTTAGGGCCACCACTCAAGTTATTTATTGCTGTGGGGAATTTAACAAGTTTTCATAAGCTGAAGGAATTAGCACTTTATCTACCAGGCTCTAACTGATGAGCTCTGTGCCTGCTTCCTAGGACTGCCACTGGTCATGCAGTCATGTATTAGAGGGACAGTTATATGATGGTTCCCTGCTTTTTATGGATGAGCTCACCAAGCATTCACTTGGAAAACTATTGGGTTTTCTTCTTGTTTTTGGCTTTGGCATGTGTACCAGAGTGCTTAGAGGTCTGAAAAAGTGTATGTAGCCATGAATATTTATCTGAGTAACTTATTTGGTGTAGTGTCTTTAATGACCAGTTTTCTAGTTGACAATAAAGTGGTTTTATTTTAGCACTTTAACCCACTCACACTAATTTTCACTGGGAGTAGTATTGGGAGTTGTTGCAAAGAATGTGAGAAAGAGTAGTAGGAAGCTGGCTCATTCTGAAGCTGATCTCAGGGGGAGGGGTCCACTCAGCTCATCTCACAAGTATTCCTGGAAAACAAATGTATGCAAAGTCCCTTCATCCATCTTCCGATCCACACATACATCCACTATGCTTCTACCCACCCCCACACATGTCCACCATCCATTCACACCATCCCCACATAGGCCCACCATCCATTCACACCATCCATTCACACCATCCCTACATATATCCACCACCCATTCATATCCATCCACACATATATCCTTTTCCATCTACACATCCACACACACATCCACCATCCATTCACACTCATCCACCCATGCTCATCCATCCATTTATTCATTCTGAAATGTATAGTTACCAGCTTTTGATGAGGACTGCTTTACATTTTAAAGAACTAGATATCAGTAGGACTCAGGTGTTACCCTTGAGGAACTCACATTCTGAAAGGGAAGATGGACCTACTTGTAAATAATGGCACCATGATCATAAGTAACAATGACCAGGACATTGTGGGGAAACAATAAACAAAAAAAAATAGACATCTATATTTTGCTAGAGAACCTAGGAGGAAGATTCCTGGGAGCTTATAAACATACTGAAGTGTCTCCAGAGAGACCAAAGGGCAAGACTGGCCCTACCTGAAGGAAAGGAACAAAACCTTGTAGGCACAGGATTGAAGCCTGGGTTTAGAATGCTTATTCTTAGGGCTACAGACCCCATGCTAAATAATTGCTGCATTGGGAGCAAATGCTACTTGCATGTCCTAGACCATATGCACAACTACCCCAATTACCTTTATGTGTTGACTTGCAGTGATTAATGTTTACTTAAACTATCTGGATGAGAATTGGAACTTGACGTAAGAAGTTCATTATGAAGAAAGAACCACATACCAAACAACAAAAAAGATTTATTTACCTAGAGAATTGGCCAAACAAACTTCAATGCACATAGATTTTCTTGGTTCTGCTTAGGATGGTGAGGACCATCACAGACTCCCAAGTCTCTGGATGCTCAGCTTCCTTATATAATGCACAGTATTCACACAGAGCCCATGCACATCCTCCTCTAGCTTTGACTCTTCTCCAGATGACTTATAACTACATACTGCAATGTAACAAACATATAAATTGTTGCTATACTACATTGTTTAGGGGATAATGACAAGGAAAAGAAGGTACAGTTTCACTACAGCTCTCTTTTTACCCCAAATATTTTCTATCTAAGGTTGGTTAAATCTAAGGATGTGGGACTGACCCATGAGTATGACTACCTATTCCCTGTTCCAGTCCTATGAACTTCACCCTGTAGCTTAGATCTGGGATGATCTTCTGGGGACCAGTGTAGGTTTAAGTCATGTGGTCTGTGACAAAATATCTACAAAAATGAAAGTCCTTGTCTTAGCGCACATGATGCCGATGAGGTTTGTTCCTATAACAGTCCAAGTTTTTGTAGACAGCTGTGCTTTCAAGTGCAGAAACTTAACACTGCAGACCCTTCCTGCTCTCATGGAGAGTAAGTGCCCCTGGAATTTACATTGTTCTCAAACAGCTAGTGCCACCTATGGGCAGGCATTGGCCTTAAAGACTGTGGAGTCTTAGGCACCATGGGCCCCTTCTGTGATCTAGGTCCTTGTCAATCCTTGCATGTGAGGGTTGTTAGATACCAAATTTGTTTTGGGTTTTGGTTTTGGGTTTTTTTTTTGGACGCAGAGCTTGAGAATGTGCCTTCCCCATTTCTTTTTTAGATAGGAGCCTGTGGATACATCGGAGCATTGGTAAAAAATAGCTGCTGGTTGATCCAAGCTTTCAGCCTGGCCTGCACAGTGAAAGGCTATAAAATGCGTATGTATAAGCAGAACCTTTGGGCGGGGGGATGAGAGGGTAGAAAAGAAAGAGCAGTTGTACTGTTCTAATGGAAACCCTAGAGAAAAGCCCATAGAGAAATGAGGTGAAAGGAGAGGTCAATTCTGTCCCTAGGTGGAGGCTATGGTGAACTGTTGCCTATAACACAAGGTGCCTCCGAGCCCCACCACAGGTGGAGATTGGGCACAGTGCAGCAGCACCTCCCCATTTTTCCAGTTAGGATTAGGGAGGATTCCAGCTGCACTCTCAAAGCTGCAGTCAGAATGGTAAGTTCTCAAGGTACCCGAGGCTTCTAGGCCTTCTTTCCCCAGGAAACTCGATGGGCTTCAGGCTCAGGAAACCAACTGGGAAGAGCCTCAGGATTCCGGGGTTAGTGCCCTACAGAGACAAAAAGAAGTGCTATTTCTTGCTTCAAAACCCAGGTTACATCACCTGTGAGCTTCCACGATGCACAGAAAGGACACTGTTTAGAGATGATGTTCTTGCTGACTGGGGCTTCTAAATCAGGCTGCACTTAGCAGAGGATAAATCATCCCCTGGAAACTGGTTTTAACTTAGATAAAATGTGCAGCCCACACCCTTCTAATAGGCTACCCTGTGTTCATGGGCAAGCTAGTTGTCTCTGGATAGGGCTCACTCCTTGAACAGGTATTTTCTCCCATATCAGAGCATTTCATCTGCCTTTGGGGTGTTATTGTTGGGAAGTCTCTGAAGAAAGAAACTCTCAGTGGCTTCTCTGTGCCTCATAGTGTGAACAGTTCATTGTGTGGTCCCCTCGTGCTGATGTCAGATTTCAGGCATGTGGTATTGCTTGTGAACCACTTGACTCAGGAGTAAGTCAGAGCATCGGAATGCTGCTGTTATTCCTGTGAGATTCCCCAAGCTTGCACTGTAGATTGTATAAAATAGCAATGGAAGCAGGTGTTCGTCTCAGTTTGGGTTCTCCCTGCTTTGCCACCACAGCTGATGAGGACTCCAAGTGTAAGCTGCCCAGTGGGGAGGCGGGGATCATCTGGGACAGCATCTGCTTTGCCTTCCTCCTGCTACAGAGAAGAGTCTTCATGAGTTATTATTTTCTGCACGTCGTGGCTGACATAAAAGCTTCCCAGATTCTGGCATCCAGGTGGGTCAGGCCACTTCTAGAGAACACGCACCTGAAAGGAATAATACATAATGATTTCTGTCTGACATTGCTTGGAGAACCCTCAAGAAATATTTAAAACTCCCTTCCAGAAAAGCCAGTCCCCAAAGGACTTGGCACCAGCCCTTTAGCAGCTAAAATAGAGTAGTAACAAAATATGTGACTCTGAGTAACACAATGACAAATGATCTGGATGGACATACCTCAAGAGAAAATACACAAGTGGGGGTTGGGATAAAATTCAGCGGTAGAACCCATCTGATCCCCAACATCACAAGAAAAGGCACGGAAAGAAAGCACATACACAAAGGTCCAACCAGGATATGAACCAATACTCAGTGTCACTATTCATCAGCAAAATGCAAATCCAGAAACTACAATTTGACATCATTTCATCCCCATCAGAATGACTGCTTCTGAAAAACCAAAAGCTCAGTGCTGGTGAGGATGTGGTAAGATGGACACACATGTACTGTCGGTGAGAACGTAAGTTGATGTGGCCGTTACAGGAACACTAGGACGCTGCTCAGAAAGCGCAGATGCTTACTCAGGACCAGCATGTCTACATTCCTCGGCTTATTCCTCCTGACCCTTCTCTTCTCTTTAGTCCTTTCCACTCTCCATTTGATTTTCTTCTCTAGGACACTCCACATTGATACTTTTTTCTCTCTTGAACTCTGTCCTTCCTCCTCCTTTGGCTCCAATCTTGTAGGTTTAGGATAACACTAAGGAGAGCACTAACAACTAGAAGCCATGAGGTTGAGTGGGAAGGAGCCAGTGGCTAAGTATGTGCTTGTCCAGGGAAGCCAACCTTCCTAGACCATATAGGATCTGTTTACTGTCTGACAATCATTAGACTTTGATTTATCATATGAAATCACCAACATCTGTCATTGAACTTGAGGTGTAAATTCGTATATATGTGCTTATAGTGTCAGTTTCCCTATATTTCATTTCCTTCCCCTGCCAAAACAGATGCATTTATTTAAAAAGTTCATTTAGATGAGAGCAATCTCAGCCTCTGATACCTAAATTGGAGCAACATACGGAAAGGATATAGTAGGGACCGACATTAAATTCAAGGAGCCTTGTGGCATGCTCTACCTCATTAGGTAGGTAGACAGTGACTTCACTTAACTTGCAATATTAGCGTTTTGATGTATTGTTATAATTATTGTTTAATGCTCAAGACATCATTTTCAGAGAAAAGTACAATGTTTCAACCCAATAGTAACCTTGTTTACTTGTGGAAAACGGCTAGCATTTTTAAAGATAAATCCATGATATTTTCACTTTCCCCAAAATCTTTGGTCTTGAGAGGTCTAAGCCATAATAGATTCTAGTGTCTTTTCTCACAAAGTTGTCACAATTACTTAGAAAGTATGTCCTTCCTGTTATAGTAAAAGTGACATTGTGGTTCAGAATCCAGCTCATGCTTATCAAAGAAAAGCTGTATCTTAATGACACTGAGCTCACGGCGGGGGGGATTCCAAAGATCACATACACTTCCATCCATATATCTACCCACTAGTCTGTCTGTCCATCTATCTATCCAGTTGTTCACTGCCTGCTTGGTCTAGAGAACGAGTCTCACCCCTGCCCTTATCGAGCTTACAAATTATTAAGAAAACAGATCCACATGTAAGTAATGGCAGAGCAGGACAGAATTCTCAGTCTGTCTGGGTGACCATGATAAAGGCACTGTAAAGCAGGTGGGCTACACACACAAGGCATGCATTGTGGTCCTTGCAGATTGGTTGTCTGGTAGTAGCCCATTGCTCTTAGGTGGCCATCCCACCATGTCTTCTCATGGTAGAGAGGACAAGAGTCCTCCTGGGCCTTATTTATTACAGTCACCTCACTTGTAACTTAGTTATCCTCTAAACTTAGTATCTGTAACTTAGTTATCTTCCTGTTGCCATCAGCCTGAATTCGGAGGGACAGAAACATTCAGATAGCAGTAAGTGTGGTGAGACATTTGAGAGGCCATGAAAGCCTATTGAGGGCGTGTCAACAACTACAGGACATGCGCTGGGCAGCTTTCCATTTTAAGAAGCAATCTAAAGAATAAGCAGGAGTGAGGAAGGAGGGTGGAGAAACAGCCCCAGTGACGTCACCACAGGAAGTTCTTATTTGACTGTGACGGGGCAGTGTTGAACATGTAGACAGAGAAAGCTTGAGATAAACCTGGCCTCCTTTTCATTATCAGGGCTTTAGTGTGTTTGCAAGTCTACAGTCAGAATACCTGTATCATGGAGCTGAGGATAAGGTTCCTTGGGTTAAGTGCTTACTGCACCAGTATGGGGATCTGAGTTCAGATTCCCAACACCTGCATAAAAATCCAGGTATGGTATTTCATGCCTGTAATTCCAGCCCTGAGGATTGGAAACAGGTGGACTTCAGGGATTGTTGACCAGTGAATCTAGCCAAAATAGCTCCAGATAAGTGAAAGACCCTGTCTCAAAAAATAAGGAAGACATCCCAGCATCAACTTCTGGCCTCCACATGCACAAGTGTATCTATGCATATACACATGTGTACATTACCCCACCATCACTACCCACACACACACAAACACACAACCAGAATGCCTGTAGCATCGGAAAAGTGGGAACTGCACGGAGAGGACAAAGGACAGAATGCCATTCCTCCATCTGCAACCAAGGCAAGAAGGCAAGGCTGACTGAACACAGGGCAGTTTATCTACAAGAGGGCCATGCGTGTCCTCCTTCTGTCTTTGATGGCTGTGGAAAGGATGCATGTAGGAAACTAAGCAATGCTTACCTTGTGACTGATATCTCTCTAGGAAGTCTAGGAAACAGGAAGCTAGATCTAGGAGTGAAAGTCACTTGACAGGGTTTGAGAACCAGAGAGGCAGTGGGACTTTCAGGAGGAAGGGGGACTGCACAAAGTCCACAGCAGACAGGTATTGTGCTCAGCAGCTGTGACACTCCTCGCACATGGCAAGCACATCACTGGGTTCCCATAGGTTTGAAATTTACTGAACAGATAGCCAGGGGACAGAGTTGAAGAAAAGCTAGGGAGATTTATCAGGGCACTTCAGCTGGCTTGAGATATGAGGAGAAACAAAGAAAATGGATGGGTTGACGGAAGAAACTTGAGAAAGAGATTGAGTATCCATCCCTCTGATAGAGCCAAACTCTACTCTTGCCTGTGCAAGGGCAACCCAGCTCCACTCCAGGCCCATTCCTACTCAGCCAGGAACACTCACTCACCCTGCCTAGCCAGGTCCTTCTAGACACAGCTCTAATAAGGACAAAGGGTATATTGCTTAATATTTTGTGAGACACTATTGAAAGCATTTAATATTTGAAAAACAAACTGCTTTCTTTCCACTGGCCTCCTGAGGTGGCAAACAGCCCACTCTCTGTTCATCCACAGAAAAAGGACTTCCAGAAAGGACTGGATGACTTTGGTCAGGAAACTTGTGTCAGTCACCAGTAAAGGGAGTGTCATGACCTCTGACTCTTAATGATCATTTTTAGGGGAAGTTGAACGACAAGAATACTGATTTGTTCTGTGCTCCAATTTTTCCTTTAGAGGGGCTGAACTTTTCCAGGCCACAATCGTGAAAGCTGTAAAGGCAAGAATTGAGGAAGAGAAAAAGTCTATGGACCAACTGAAGAGACAGTAAGGAAGCTCCTCCCTATAGTTCTCCATTCCTTTTTGGATTTATGCCAGTGTATTCAGCTGAGTCTTGGCTATTAGGGACTTCAGACTGAAAATATATTTGTGTCGACTTTTCCAACTTCTCATGCAATCTTGTGCCAGAACAATTGTTAATGCTACTGGACTAAAAGTCAAAGCAGTTTATCAGGAAGATAGTTCCAGGAAGGATAAAAGGGGCCATCTTGAAAAAGGCAAAGGGGTCATCACTAGTTCACTTATTTACTTGAGAGCCAGTGCAAGTCATTTAAGTTTTCAGAATCTCCATTTTTGTGTCCTTAAATTAGGACTCCCTTCTTAGATTTTGTAGAGATTGGTTAGCCAATGAATGAAACAGAGCTCAGTGTCAAGCACTTGGAGTAAGTAAATGCATTCCTGGGTGCAGGGAGTAAATATGGAGCCAGTTTCAGAAGCATCTTTTAAAATAAAACAAATATAAGGATTAGAGAAATGGCTCAGTGGTTAAGATCACTTGCTATTCTTATAGAGGACCCAGGTTTGGATCCCTGTACCCACATAGCAGCTCTCAAATGTCTGTAACTCCAGTTCTAGGGGATCTTATACCTTCTCCTGGCCTCTGCTGACACCAGATATGCATGTGGTAACACATACATACATGCATGCAAAACGTTCATACACATAAAATTAAAGTAAATAGCACCTTTAAAAATAATAGTATAAGCCGGGCGTGGTGGCGCATGCCTGTAGTCCCAGCATTTGGGAGGCAGAGGCAGGCAGATCTCTGTGAGTTCAAGGCCAACCTGGGGCTTAGCAGGAAAAGGCACTTGCCATGTGAACCTGGGACCTGAGTTCAAGCTCTGCAACTTACATGGTGGAAGAAGTGATTCCCTCAAGTTGTCCTCTGACTCTTACATGCACTCTATGTAGCACATGAACCCTCCAACACATCATGATAATAATAATAATAATAATAATAATAATAATAATAATAACAATAATAATACAATAATACAATACAGCCCCAGGAAAAAATGGATGAGCTCTAATACATAGGGCCCATACTAATTAGAAGGGTGACTTTTCCTGAATTTGATTCAAGGCTTTTTCTACCTTCCATCCTGGATGGGCAAGAAATGAGCTGACTCCTCTCAGGAGATTTGAGGATATAGTTGAGAAGGATTTTCTTGCGATAAAATTTTCAGTAATGAATAATGGAATTTCCAAAGACTGGTGCACTTGTAGGCTTAAAAGCTGATGGCCATATAGTATAAATCAAAACCTGGACACTTTTGTCAAGAAAATAGAAGCTGTCTACCACCCCACCATGAAAGTCCCCTCTATTTCCAAGACTAGCTTCATTCCATTCTGACCTCAATTCTTTATTGCCCCTGAGAGATATTTCCTAGTATAATCTAGATTTCTCCATGCCAAGATTTTTTTGCACAAAGACATCAGTTATCTACTAAAACTATTATGTAATGCAAATGCAGCATGGTGCAACTCTTATTCCTGATTAACTTGGGTCTAGGGAAGAACAAATGCAGGGGGCATTTGGAACATGCTCTCTCTTCCCATTAGTGGGACTCTGACTCTTTTGGTTAAGAGTACAAAGCTTTTTATTATAATATGTTGTGGCCAGAATGGCTCTAATACAAAATGTGAATAGGCATCAAGGACTTCATGTTAAACCTTAGAATCATGACTATTGATTGTATTACTAATTCAAGTATATCTAAAATACAAAGTACCATGAAGATTATATGTGCATGCATGCGTATGTATATGAGTTTGTAGGAGGTATTGTTGATAACAAACTATGATTTCACAATTCTTAAGTATTTCAAAGTAAATTGGTCACTTTTTTCAATAGTTTATATGTTTTCATTAGTTTATATTTGTTTATGTATAGCCATGCACGTCCACAGTGCTGACCATGCATATCTGTGAATGTATGCTTGTCATTGCTAATGCTGCTTTATTTTATAGGATGGATCGTATCAAAGCCAGGCAACAGAAATACAAAAAGGGTAAGGAGCGGATGCTGAGCTTGACCCAGGAGTCAGGGGAAGGCCAGGACATCCAGAAAGTCTCTGAAGACGATGATGAAAGTACGTCACATTTTCCTCTTATTTAAGTACTTACTTTGAAATTAATGAAGAGCACGATGTTGATAGGACTATAACACAACATTCCTTTTCACACTGCCAATGCTATCAGTAGATCTCTTTTATTTCTGCAAGTTTGACTTTCCCATTGTGAGGGGTATATGTTTGTTTCATTAGGTATGTATTTAATGAATGAATATTTTTACAAGTATTTACTCTTCAGCAAGATGCCTTTAATGAACATGGCCTAGCTTAGTTCACAGACATTTTTCTAAAAAAAATATTGACATGATTCTACTTTTGTTCCTTTAGGGAAGATGTTTTAGATATGCTTCCTTTGATTTATTTAATTTAATATAAAAATTATATATGTATGTATATTTTCTGTCACTTCGAATATTCATAGTTAAAATATCAATTGTTACCTGATCCAATGGAATTTGTGAAATATATTCATTATATACAATTATAGATTTATCCAATTAAAATCTTTAAAATATTTTATAGGATATTGCATGCTTTCTATTTTAATGGAATAGAGAAGTGTTACATGATCCCTTTCCAGTTCATAGTATCTATTCATCATCAGTATATTTGTCTTCCAACCATATGGTAAAATAATCAAAAGAAAAACTCCTAGTAATTGTATTTATACATTTTAGCAAATTATTTACCACTAAATGGTTCTATATAGTGGGCATGCTTTTATTTTAATTTAATGAAAAAGTAGTGTGAGATGCATTGTTGACAAATAATCCCTCCTTTTTAGTATTTCTCTGTATGCCCTCAGATACTAGGAAAAAGTGAGAATGTAGCCTATGTTAACAGGACATTTGGCATTTACCTTGTGAAATGGGCTGTTTGTACATGTGTACTTTTTATATTCAGTACAGTTCCTTTTCCTGACCTCTGATATACTTTTGCAATTAAGATTTGACAAATTGAGTTGTTAAAACGTGGTTTTCAAAATCTGTTTGCTCACTTTATAAGAATTAATATTTGGACGTATTTTATTTTAGGAGAAGCAGACAAACAGAAAGCCAAGGGCAAAAAAAAGCAGTGGTGGCGGCCTTGGGTTGATCATGCTTCCAGTAGGTTCTCTCGATCCTCTTCCGATCTCATCGACTCTAACCCTTATATCCTTGACCAGAATTCAGGCTCCCTATGATCTCTGTGCCCCATGCATGGTTTGACCCTTGTGACTTGATAGGGGGTCAGAGTGTAAGAAAATTGCACTGTTAATGGGCCTCCGGGCCCTGTGAATCAGTTCTTCTAGAGAAATTAGCTGATTACCATGTTGACTGAAGAAAGCCAAATTTGGGGCTTATGGACAGACTCACGAGCACAATTTATGAGCTCACAAAGCAAAAACTTGGATATATTATCCAAACCTAGGGTCCAGAGCTCTGCTCTTATCTATTTTGTGGCTAAAAACCCTTAAGGACAAGTTTGGCTCCTCCTGGGACTCCAAAGGACCATCTGTTCAAAGTGTCTATGACCCTCTTTGTAAGGCACTAGGCATGGATGCCTATAAGCCTCCCTCCCCTGGTTCCTAGAGCTTTGATTTCATTTGCATTTAAGGGTTTGGCAGTATATTTAATATAATAATAATAAGGTATAACTTAAAACATGTTTACTTTCCCACTTCAACTCCTCCCCAACCTCAAAATGGATTTGCAGCTACACCTCAAATACCCATGCCCAGCATGTGGCACAGCCTCAGAACCTCCCGATGCTCAGGTGACTGATTAATAGCTAAACCCAGAAAGACAGAGCCCAATAGCTACATAATATAGTTCATTTTCCTCCTGATGATAAATGGATCGGTGGTTACAGGCATCATTGGCTATATTTGCCTTGATTAACAAAGAGACGATCAATACTGGCTGACGGTTTTATAATGGAATGATCCCAAATCTAGTCTTCCTATATTCTTTGACTGTGATTGAATACTGAATAATTATTTTGAAAATATCCTGTAACATTTTATACTCTACCTCCATAGCTGTAGCTCATCAGTTCACACAAAGACCATCTTGCAGGAATGAGAGGGACCCTGCTAGTAGAAAATCAAATAAATTAGAAAATTTTCCAATCCCTAATTCTTAGTGATATTGATCTACAATTGGCCTCTCTTACCGCAGAAGTGATTTTCTAAAATCAGCAAGCTGGTTTAGTGAAGTAAAATTTGAAATTTGCCCATGTCTTTGGATATAATTAGATTTAATCCTCAATTTTGATTGGATCACTATGATTAAACAAATATGGTATAAAGAATTTGATTTGATGTTCTGCCCTAGTCAAAAGACAAAGGTTCAAGTTAAAGTCCAGTGTGATTCCTCTATTTATGGTTTATTGGCCCATAGTCATACTAACACAGTGCACTAAATGCCTATTCTATCAAGTCACAAGTAAACTGTGCCTACTTTTCTGTTTTTGAAGGGCCTTTGCTAGTTTAGAGAGACCTATCCATTTCAAAGTCACATTGTATTGAATGTTTTTCCCTTCAGCTGGGCCAAATCCCCACTGCAATCACTGTGGTTGTCTTTCCTTTTGACATCTAAACCATTTCAGTGGAATTGGATATGGTCTTTGATAATCATCTTACACATTGGTAGTAACTTAAAGAACTCCCATGATGGTTAATGGTGTTAGATTTTCCTGATTCATTTCACCCTCATTATATCAGTTTCTTTAAGACTGGTATTAAACTCAGTGTGCCTCATTACGATGTGTTATGGTGCAATACTGCAGGACTGTGTGTAATCCATGATTTGGAATCATATTCTGACTATGGTACTAAATTTTTCCTGGAAAATATTTTTTCCAATCTTAAAAAGAACAGAAGGGAAAGAATGTTTGGTTTACTTTTTCCATCTTTGATGAGCCCCATTTCTTAGATCTGGAAAAATGTTATTAGAAGCCCTTGTTCTGATCTGTAAATCTAGGCTGGGCTTTCAAATAGTTTCTCAGAGATGCTGAGTATATGTGCAGTTGGAGTATCTACTGATGACATAATAATGTTGTTTTTATATTATTGGTCAGCAGCAAAGACCTTAACACAGTCTGTGGTGACAAATGTGCTAGTTCCATACCCATGTACACACACAGGACTGCATTATTGCTGTTCAATGATACCTTCCATCCCACAGTAGTATTATCTCCGTATCAGTTCCTCACCATCTTAGTCAATACCAAGCCTTGTTTTGCTGATAAAGATCTGAAGTAAAGGACCATGTTTCTGTAGATGTGACTGGTAAAATCTAAACAGTTAATTTCATGCTGAACAATTTAGCAGTGACACAGCATTCATGATCTGTGTCTGGCCATGGACTGGAGGCAGCAACTCCATCTACACTGACATACATGGAGGAGATTTTCTACTCAGTACCAGCAGCAGGAGCTAAAGAAAGTTTCCTTCTTTTTTCAAATGTACCAATTCCACTTGCTTACATATTAAATTACTTGTGGTTCTAATGATAAAATCAATACTTGATGAACATCATTTGGGCTCAACCACATGAACAAGAGTGATAGAAGGTATGATTGAATACAACTTCAGCTATTGTTAATTTTAGTGCCTATAATGAGGGTAAAATGCTCCATCTCATAATACCCTGTATTTGTCCCAAATGACCATGTGATGTAGAGTCCACGTAACTTCCCTGCAATCTCTCAGCTTACGTGAAGGCATTACTTTAATGGTCTTCCTCACTGTCAAATGTAATGCTGCAACTTTGGTTTGTTCTTGCTTATTATTACCTTAAGTTGTACTGCATCTATTTCCTCAGGCCTGGACCCAATACTCCGGGTCTGGTTTTTTTCTTCAAAACATAAATAACAAATCACGGTGCTTCTGTTCAAGGATATAAGGCCTAATTTGTTCACTCTGCATCTTCTTGGAGGTTCAGAGTCATCTGATACTGTGGGAAAAATTGCTGGACTTTTGACCATAGCTAGTGACATTCAAGCAACTGATTTTAAACAAGCCAAGGTTTCCCATTACCTTATGAATTACTAAGTCCAAAAGATAACTTAAGACATCACATTATCTCACCCCAAAGATGCTTCTGCAATTTGTAAAACCAAAAACGTGAATATGTTTTCCCATAATGATGGTACAATTCTTGTAGCATCAAAAATGTATACTAGATCTATTTTCTCTATAAAACTTAAAAATGTTCAAACATATTAAGATTGGATTTCCTAAATGTCTTTAAGTCTCTAGACATCTCTGTGCTCTCTGTTCCCATTCCCAACACAAGCCTATGTTCTTGCAGAGCAAATGTCAGAAGAGGCAGAGACAAGCCATACTGTTTGTGCTTTGCATCTGATGGTCAGGAGAGTTCCCCTTGGGTTTCATTATGCTCCCAGGGAGTGGCTTTTTGACCAGAAGTGTGACAGAGACAAACCCTATGGACCAAGGCTGTTGCTCCTCTGTTGGTCCCATAGCTGTCTGTAGAAGCAGTCAGAGCATATGTTGTTGTCTTATTTTGTTTTTAACATCACCCACCCATTTCCTCCTCATGGCCATGTGCGTTGTTGTTGATTTGATTTTGTTTTGTTGGTTTCTTTTACTCTTCCCAAAGTCTTGTCCTCTATGCTGTCTCACTCGTGTCACGTGTGGAGAAGCCAGGTCTGCACAGTATAAAGTGAAGTCGAGGCCAGTGGCACTGATCTCGGTCCTGAATCACCCTGATTGGCTAGTCTGTTACAGACTATGCTAAATCTTCTACTTCACTTTGGCCTTTGTCTGAATGATCAAAATGCTGAATTCTGAAGCAAGAGTTTTCAAGTATTTTGGCATCTCTGTAGCAAATAGATTCAGCCCTGTAAAATTCATAGTGAAGAAGGAAGAAATTGCCAGGTTCATCCCACAGTGGCCAAACTCTCAAATGGCACAGACAAGGCCTCATGCTCTGTAGACCCAGCCATGCCAGCACCACATAGCACTGAACTAAAACAGGTTCTCTTCGTCTGTTTTCTCCTGCTAACATCTCTTGCTGTGGTCCACTTATGGGCCATCTGTGTGTCTTTAGGGGGCATTTCATTAATAAGCCCCAAGTATCTTGTGCCTCTTTCAAGAAGTAAGTAAATATTTTGTTTTGCTTAGTGGTCAGGAGTGGAGATTATTATTTGTTTGAGACGGATAGTGAAGAGGAGGAAGAGGAGGAGCTAAAAAAGGAAGATGAAGAACCTCCACGGAAGTCCGCATTCCAGGTAATAAGGGGAGTGGGGAAAGAGGAACCCTTTGCTGGTTAGAAGTGTGTAGGGTTTTTATTACTATTGTGACAAGTCTTAATTGCAGGCCCAGACAACCTCTGCTGTACTCCTGTGTCACAGCACTCAGAGCCTTCTGATGGACATCTGAAATTATTTATTTCTAGTTCAACTACAGCACTGCTCCCTCCTAACAATGTCATAATTACTGCCACGTGAAAACAGGGTGTGGATCAGCTCTTTATCCCTGACCTCAAGACATGCTTTGATGCCCTCAACAAAAAATAAAGCTTCATTGGGTGAACTTTATTTTATTGTTGTTGCAAGTGGACAACTTCTTTAGCGTTGTTTTGGATCGCTCGAATGTTGGACTTATATTTCCGTATTCTAAAAGTACAAATAAAGTACTTGCTCTAATTTGAGATGATCACATAAATCTTGCCTCAGATTTTGAAAATTAGCTTCATTTGTGCAGCTTATGATCTGAGAATACATTAAATAATAACAAAGACACCCAGCTCAGCTCTAATCTTTTTCAACTGAGCTTTCTCTCTCTGCTCTGGAACCTGCTGTCTCATTCCCAACTCTGGCTCATCAGTCCATACAGTGTTACTAGGGAAGTGTGTCATTCATCCTTCTTGAAGATGAGGCCTTGTCAGTGCACAGGAGATGAATTCTTTGTACATGTTCCTCTTACCTGTGAACCACAAGCTGGAACAGTCATATTCCATTTGTCACAATACAGGGCACATAGAAAAGTGTCCACCAAACCACACAATGTGCCCACGACAAGGCCTTGCACCACAGCTTCCTGGCTAGGTCTTTGTAAATGGGCAAGCCCAGTCACCCAGTCTTCCTGATGACACTGAAGAACAAAATGGTTTGTGGAGGCTTTCTGTGTGATGCTGCCTCCTTGGCTCCATTGCTCCTGTGTATGTTTCTTGGTGAACATGTATGTGTGCATGAGTAAGGCTGCTTCCAAATACTATTGACTTAACAGATTTGTTTTTTCTAATGAATTTTCTTCTAACCACCACTCATGATACAACAAAGAAGAGAACATGGACCGTCTTCACTGTGTTTATGGGTTATACCCCATGATTGATTGACTGTGTTCTTTTTCCTAACTTATAAACTGAGCACATTTTTATTCTAGCTTCAGTGATTGGCATGTTTTAACCTCAATGTTAATTGTAGAGACAAACTCAAGAGACGTCATATATTAAATTGTTAGCTTTTGGTTTTTTTCTACTAATTACTCTTGCTTTGTCCTTCTTTGTAGAGAGCTATTGGGAAGTTTGCCTCAGCCATTTTAGCCTTGCCAAAGTCTGTCATTAAACTTCCCAAAACTATTCTTCAGTATTTAATCAGAGCTGCAAAGGTATTTCATGTTTTACTGATGTGTAGTGTGTGACTCTCTGCTCTGTAGAACTTTAGAAAAACATCCCTATATCTGCATTTTCCCTCTTCTATAAATCGTGCAGTGAAAGTGTTATAAGGATGTAAAACATTGGGAAAGTCTTCCAAAAAGACTTCTTAGACTCCATCTTTCTTATTTGACTCTTGTTTTTTTTTAAGTAGATCCCTAAGACTATCAAATAGAAAGAGAAAATGCAGATGTATGCGGACTTCTCTCCTCATAGTTTTGTGTACCTTACATGTCATTTGAAAAGGGTCACATCTGGTTGCATGCATTGGTTTACAGTGAGTAAAACACAATAATGTTTCTCAGAAAGCTGGTAAAATTCTGGATAAGCTACTAAAAGACTTCTCTGGTTCCATCTCCTTTCCGGCTTCTTGTTAGGCTCTGCCCTCTTAAATAGGATCCAGTAGCCTGGTTCCTGAATCCAGCACAACTCCTCCAGCTAATTTCTGCAAGGCTCCTTACTCTCAGAGTACAACCATGCCTTTGAAAAGCAGTTTAACAGCTCATCTGTTCATTCATCTAAAGCACAATGGAAGCCATCCAGCTACCTTTACTACAGTCACTTCATTATTAAAACCATAAAGAGCAAATTATCCCTCTTGTCTTTTGTGGAGTGCTCTTTTCTAGGCTTGGCCAGGAGCAGGCTCTAAAACTCTTGAGTCTAATGATGCTCCCTGATTTCAAATGAATAGTTGAGACAAATGGTGGCAAAGACCATTGCATTGTATTTTTCCTGGGATCTTACTTCATTGCTGATCCTGGGTCTTTGGGGACCTGAAGTTCTGCTCACCCATACAGTGGTCAGATGAAACCATACTGGTCTGGTGGTCTACCTAGAACCACAGAGCACAGCCCTCCAGGTGCCTCCCATTTTCAAATGCTTGGAGGCTGATTTTAATGAATAGTCACTGTTAACTATTTCTGTAGAGTCTATGTTTTCCTCACTATGGCCATCATATGAGTCTCTCAACTCATAATTTAAAAGTTGCCAAAGTATTCAATTTATCCATCTCCCTTGTTACTTAAATCTTCAGTTGATTAAATCATGCTACAGATGTAAACAAGTTTTTGAATCACACCCTAATTAAGGGAAAGATTATGAAACTTTACCAACCTGACTGAATAATCTCTGCTACAATGAAACTCTCTATTTTAAAAAATAAATGCATTTTTGTTAATGACCTTTTGGCAAAAATAAATCCATTTCCCCCTAATAAAAAAGATAAACTTTAAGATAGTCAGGGACACACACTCAAGGCAGTGGCTGTTTAGAGAAACCAGAGACCTTTTATATACATGTCTATGAGCTTTCTACTTCTGGTTACTGTTATTAGAACCTGGATCCCTAGACAGGCCACCAAATTGGAAGGCAATTAAAGTTACAAAGTAATAATCAGGGAGGTCAACAGCAAGAACCTTCCATTTCTTGACTCAGTGAGGATTGGGACCATTTCCTGAAATAGAAGACGGCAAAATTGGCCCTCTGTCAAACGTTTGGAACTGTGAAATATTTGTGATTCAAAATATCAGCCTTAAGATTTCTTGCCTACAAATAAGGAATTGCCATGTGATTGACCCTTCTTGCTCCCAAGTCCTTGCATGACCAGAATATTCCTCTCACAGAGAAGACACTGATGGGCTTCATCCCTTGGGATCCAAGCAGAGTCAGGACTCCCCTTCCCCATGTCAGAGCCTTACCTACCCTTCCTGGAATCCAGGAACCCTGCCCTTAGCAGGCTCCCCTCTCCCTCTGCCCTCTTTCCCAGTTGTTCTCTTTCTCCTCAGAACAAAAGATGTCCTCCAACTTATGTACCTGTTACACTCACAAATCCTATTACCTTCATATTTCTGTTTGGGATTTTTCATTATCTAAAACAATAATGTTGTGCTTCTCTTGAAGGCAATGTCACCAAATGTTGCTCTTAAACCTGAAATTTTATTTATTAGTTTAATTTCTTTTAAAATAACCAATAAGGTGCTAGAGCAAGTTTGCCTTTAGACCTGACCTAACCCTGAAAGACACTGGATAGAGTCCCCAAGTAACATGCTCAGCCACGTTCTACCATAATTCCTTTCTTTGATCCTTCTTTAAATTCCAATTTACCTTCTCATTTTATTAAATATATTTTGATATAAAATAGCATGTCTTGCCTCCTGGATTTGTAATCTAGAAATAATATCAATTTTGCAATTGTTTTAATTGCCCATGCAATTTGCATTTCTACCAGTGGGGGGGGAAAATGAGGTGTTCTTTCTTGGACCCTGTGACTCTCACCTATTCATATGTGGAAAAGTTGAATTCTTATTTTCTACTGACATCATAATGCCATTAAGTTGTTTATGTTGTGTTTTCAAAGATTTCTGAAATCTGAAAATAATCCAAGATAAAATGATGATACTATCTGGACTCACAAGTACCCCTGGAAAACATTTAGCTTAATCATGATGATGGAAAACCCAGCTTCCCTGAGACCTGCTGTGTTGCATGTTAAGCATGCCTGCTTGTCTTCCTGGTTTCTAGAGGTCTTGATTTCGTTTCCTCTGCATGATTCTGGGGATGACGAGGGTGGGCTATTCCAAACTACTCTTTCTTGGTTATTAGTTGTAAGATGTCCACACAACTGTTTTCAGCTCTTGACTGCAACTGACAAAAGGCAACCCAAGGCACCACAGTTTTCTCCCCTGCTTTCCTCGAATAACGACTTATTTTCACTTTCACGATATTTTCCTCTCAAAATACTCATCAATCTGCAGAGCCTTTTTTCAAGTTGCTGGTAATAGCTATTGTGAGTGGGTATCGAAGATATAAAATCTCCTTCTCAAAGTAAATAATATTAAAGATGTTGTTTTGTCTTTGACTCAAAAGTTTGTGGTGGGAGAAACTCCTCCAGTGATACTCAGTGAAGCCTCCAGCTTAAGCCTGTTGCATGCAGTGCAAAAAAAAAAAAAAAACCCTTTACTGAGCGTCACAATGGCAGTGGTATTTTGGAGATTTGAGAGAAACCATGGTTTGTATCAATCTAGTTTGTGTCATAATCATCTGTGATAGCAAATGAAGTATATTCCCACATCTGCTTCTATATTGCATTTTATGGTAACAAGAATAGCAAAAATCAGCACACTATAAGGAGCAAGGCAAGAGATGTTTAGCTATGTTGGGAGGAAAAAAAAAACTTATATGGAGGAAGCTTCCTAGAGAGCCATTCTGATTTCAAATTATTAAAAAGCCAGAAAGTAATTTAGCTTTCTCTCCCCAGTTTGTGTATCAAGCCTGGATTACCGATCCTAAAACAGCGCTCCGGCAGAGGCGGAAGGAGAAAAAAAAGTCAGCAAGGGAAGAACAGAAAGGAAGGCGTAAAAGAGCTGGGGTCGGTGAGTGTGTGCTGGGAGGCCCCAACCCTGGCCTCCTCACCGCAGGAGTGCTGCCGCCGAGGACAGGGTGCTGAGCAATGCTTTATGGGATACTGTCCAGTGGTTTCCTGGCATATTATTAAGTGAAAAATAACATTTACAAAATGGCAGGCACAAAATGAAACCAACCAATCCTGGAATGAAGGAAACAAGAAGCGCCTCAACACAGTATTTTATATTGTTAATGGGTGTATGTAATGCTGTCTAAATAGAAAAGGAAGGTCAGGGAGAATACTTAGTGTGCTAATGACAGTGGCTACTTCTTGGGAGGGTGGAGATTAAACGATGTGATTAAAGGGAATCCTGGGTTTACCTACTATAGTTTGATTCTTTGAAAAAATAATATAATCACAGATTCCTTGTGAAATTAAAAGCATCAAAAAGAAAAAGAAAAAAGTTCTCACGGAACCAACTGTAAAACTTGCTCATTTTTACCTTCTTTCTCTTAAAATTTCCTGGTAACTTTAATTTTATTTTACCTCATTTGTTTATAAAGATAAATTTCATTTACACTCAATATAAGGAACCAGGTTATAGGCAGGTACCCAATCTGCCTCACCTTGACCCCTCAGACCTCAGTCTCCAGGCCATACAGCCTGCCCACAGGGACACCTTACTTTATCCCCTTTGTCAAGTGCATGTAGTTTATTTGTTTGCTCTTCAGAATTGACTTCATGCTGTCAAAGACTCCTCTATTTTCATTAGCAATGTATCATGCACATTTCTCCACTTAACTATTTATGAACTATGCCACCATTCATTTTAATGACTACAAAAGATTCCATAGTACAGATATGCATAATTTATTCAATTATTTCATTCTTAATGGACAAAAAGATTGCTTCCCGACTTTACCCCAGCAAACGATGCTATCAGAGATATTCTTGCAAAACTGTGCTGTCCCGACACCACTGGGCAGCTGTTCATATGAACTCACCACACTTATGACAGCATGTACAAGACTGTGTAAGTCCAAGCCAGATAGGGGCCCACCATGAATGGAGGAGGCAGGTAGGAAGCCCTAACCCTAACTGAGGATCTATTGGTAATTGGTAGATGCTGGGAGAGGGAGACTCAGTTTTCCTTGTTGGTGTGAAACCTGATTGGTTAATCAGGCTCCAAAGCATAGACCCAAACCCAAGAGCGTTTTAAGAAATACAGATTAGACTCCATAGGTAGTAAAGCGGGGGGTCAGAGAAGTGGGTCTGAATACGATTAAATACATTGAGTGAAATTCTCAAATCAATAAAATTATTGCATTTTTTAAAAATTTATTGAATTTTTTGTGATTTTTTAGGCAGTAAAATTTAATGGCATTTAGAACCCCTCCCTTATTCACACCTCCCCCCACTGTTCCCCTACAATTCAATGTACTCCACGATGTATACAATACGGTATGGGGCCATTTTAAAAGAGATGTCCTTGGGAAAAAAATTCACATGTAGTCATACATGGGTGTATTTCAAACTATAGCAGAGGTTAAGAGCATACACTTATGTTTTACCAGGGTCTCCCTAGTCAGAGCCACCTGGAAGTCACGATGTGAACCAGGGTGGCCTCGATCTCATAGAGATCCACCTGCCTCTACCTCCCAGGGCTGGCATTAAAGGCATATGTCACCATGCCCAGCTAGAGCATACACTTCTTACAGAATGGAGTCCCAGAAGTAGAGAGACTGAGTTAATGCATGTTCCTCATGTATTTTAATAAATTCTTTTTCCAAAAGGTTTTAGTAATTTACACTCCTACATGTCAGGTGAAGATACATTTCCTGTAGCCTCATAATGGACATCACAGCTCTTTTTATTGTTTTTCTGAGGGATGACAACTTGTATTTTCATTGAAATTTGTTTGAATTCCTAACTAATGAGGCTGAACCTTTTAACTTCTTTTTTAAAAATATTTTTTACTTATTATTTTATGTGTATGAGTGTTTTGCCTGCATGTATGTAAGTGCACCCGTATCAGGCAATGCTGAGGATGTCAGAAGAGGGCATTGAATTCCCCTGGAACTGGAGTTAAGGACGGTTCATAGTCGCCATGTGGGTGCTGGGAATCAAACCCAGGTCCTCTGCAAGAGCAGTCAGTGCTCTTAACTGCTGAGCTATCTCTCCAGCCCCCTTAACTTATTTACTGTGTAATTTGTGCTTCCAAGTGTAAGGTTCAAATACAGCAAGCACTTTCCCTTCCAATTCTGTCTACATGTTCTTTTATTTTATTAGTTAGGGGGGCTTATACATTAGATATACATTCTTCTGTTGTGTGTTATAACTATACTTCCCTGTTCGGTGCTATTTTGATGTAGTTTATGGTCCATGGCTAGCTGAACAATTTGTAATTGTTTTAATGTCAAATATGTCTAAATTTCTGGTACCTTAAAGGTCAGCATCTTGGGGCTGGAGAGATCATGGCTCACTGGTTAATAGCATGGCTGCTCTTGCAAAGGACTCGGGTTTGAATCCTGGAACTCAAATGGCGGCTAACAACGGTCTGTAACTCCAGTTCCAGAGGATCCAATGCCCTCTTCTGACCTTGGTGGGCATTACATGACATGGGCACACTTACATAGATGCAAGAAATACACTCACACATAAAATAATAATATTAATAATAATAATAATAAACAAAATATTTTGGCCAGGTGTGGTGGCGCACACCTTTAATCCCAGCACTCAGGAGGCAGAGACAGGCAGATCTCTATGAGTTCAAGGCCAGCCTGGTCTACATAGTGAGTTCCAGGACAGATGGGCTACAGGGAGACCCTGTCTCAAAAAGACAAAAAATATATATATTTTAAAGGACAGCATCTTGCTTAAGTCTCTTCCCCCAAATACTAAGCAAATGTTTTCCCATTTCCCACTAGTTTTACTTACACCTTGAATTTGTGTGCAGTAGAGACATAGTTTTGTGCACTTCACTAAATAGGCAATTATGCTAGCCCTACATCTTAAGAGATTCTTCCTTTTGCATTGGGGTTAAGTGCTACTCTTGTAGGTCATCAGCTTTCAGCCCTGCTTATTATGATTTGGGACTTTAGTCTGATCCATTCTCCCAGTGCCAAGCTCTGGACCGGTGCCACATTTAATAGTCCAGTTTAATATATGGTGAAGCAAACCCCTCTCAACATCATTGTTTTATTCAGAGTTGTGTTTGTTATTCACAGGTATTTGTTCTGCCAAAATTTTATGAATATAGTTTAATCATCATGACCATGGTGCAAGACTCTATGTAATGAAAATTATTTCATGTGCAGGTCCAGTGGAATGGGAAGACCATGAGGATGAGCCAATCAAAAAGAAATCTGATGGACCAGGTAACAAAACTAAGACAAAGATGGGCCATGAGAATTTGAAACTGATACTTGCCCCGTGGTAAATAATGGAAGGCTACTGGGAAGTAATGAACCCAACACAGAATCTGAACCAAACCTGAACAGTTGTGTCCCTTGACAACTCATCTCTAGTGAGACCAAGGAGGACTCCTGAGAGCAGATCCAGTCTTGGGGCCCCTGTGTGGGATCTGGCTTCTTGTCTGTCCTTAAAGCTCTTGATGCATGTGCCTTTGGGGGACAGAATGGGGCTTAGGAACAAATGTTAGAGCCCTATGGAAGCCACCAGAATGGAGCACAAAAAAAAGCTTGCAATTTCTTTCTTCTTCCTTTTTTTTGGCTTAACTGTTTCAAATTTTATTTTTTTAACTGAGACATAACCTTTGTGCACATACATATTGATAAATGTATACAATGTGGGATAATGTCATCAGGCTAATTGTTTCTAGCATCTCAAACATTTGCCATTCCTTTGTGTTAGGAATGCTCAATCTTCTCTAATAGCTATTATGAAATATGCCTTAAATTACCATACAACAAATGTAGAAATAAGGACTTAAGTGACTACATGTTGAACAATGAGTAACCTACTACATGTAAGAAAATAATTATGAATAGGAGAAAGAAATATGTTGTCAAAAACATAAAGTCAGCTACATTACATTAGCAGCTATTGCCCTAAGCTTTTAAGCCTGCAGGAGGCAAATTTTCCTTTTTTTTTTTTTTTTTTTTTTTTTTTTTGACAGTGCCTCCCTAGTCACAGTCCACCTGAAAGTGATGTGAACCAGGGTAGCTACACAGAGATCTACCTGCCTCTGCCTCCCAAGGGCAGGGATTAAAGGTGCACGCCACCACGCCCAGCATAAACTTTCCTTTTATATCTAACAAAACAGCTGAAGTCCTCTCCACATGAGTGTGGGCAATACATACCTTGATCTAGATTTCCTTAAAAGGGAACAAGGGAGACTGGAGAAGCAGCTCAGAGATTAAGAACACTTGTGGCACAGTCTTGAGGTGAGGACTGGTGTTCAGATCCCAGCATCATGTAACAATCCAGGCATCCTGCACATACCTGCTACCCCAGCTCTGGAAGGGAAGGACATAGGAGGATCACTGGGGCTTGCAGGTTTTAAGCCTCACCAAGAAAATATGATCCCTAGATTCAAGGAGTGGCTTTCCTCAAAGGAATGGGGGGAAAGGACAGAGGAGGATACCCAATGTCCTCTTCTGGTTTCCATGTATGCTCACAAACATATATGTACACACAGAGATATAGAACACAAGATAGAAAGATAGATGATATAGATAGATACATAGATAGATAGATAGATAGATAGATAGATAGATAGATAGATAGAGGATAGATAGATAGATGATAGGATAGATGATAGATCATTATGGAGGTTTCCCTACCAGGCACTATGATAGATAGATAGTTACATTCATAGATAGATAGATAGATAGATAGATAGATAGATAGATAGATAGATAGATAGATAGATAGATAGATAGAGGATAGATAGATAGATAGATGACAGATGAAGATAGATGATAGATTATAGATAGAAGATAAAAGATTATAGATAGACGATAGAAGATAGATGATAGACAGACAGACAGATAGATAGAGACATAGAGAGAGATAGATGATAGATAGATAGATGTAGATGATAGATAAATAGGAAACTAGGAATGGAAAAGAAAATCGAGGCATTTGCGGAGTCTCTAGCTCAGCATCACTCTTCTATGGCACCTGCAGATCCTTCCTTCATTACACTTCATGAGGTCGCTCCTCACTTCCTTTGCTGCTTTGCTCAGCAAAGGACCTTCTGTTTTCTCTACCTCCTAAAACACCTAGAAGACAAAAGGGGTAACACAATCCAGAAAGGTCCTGGGGGGGCAGAAGAGGTGGTGACAGAGAGAGAGAGAGAGAGAGAGAGAGAGAGAGAGAGAGAGAGACTCCCTTCCCTGTTTTACCCTTTGTAAAGAACAACTCTTGCTGGGCATGGTGGCACAGGCCGTTAATCCCAGCCCTCCAGAGGCAGAGTTCAAGACCAAACTGGTCTACATAGCAAATTCTGGGTCAGCTGGGGCAACATGGTGAGCCTGTCTCAAAAAGACCAAAAAAGAAAAGAATAAATCTTTACCCGAGTGAAGCTTATCCTTTCTCCAAGGTCACAATTTAAATCAAGCTCTGTTCATTCATCATAAAACCAAACTCATTCACACTGTGGTCTTCAAACCAGATTAGCTGGGAACAAGGATAAGCTATCTGTTGATCAGATCTTATCACACTAGACAGGGGGCCTGTGGGGCTGGTGTGCAGTTGAGAAATCATCAGCCCACAGAGCTGTGCAGGTTGTACAGATGGTACGGTCTGGTCTTCTTCCATTCTGATGCTTCATTACTGTATATTTCTATAGGCGTACAACACACCATTTCAGTATGCCTGTACATAGTGAACTGATTGGTGCAGCCCAGCAAACAAACCTATCTATGTGCCACCCCACCATGGTTAGAGCACCTAAAGTCTACTTGTTGGCAAATTCCCAGCATAATACAGTATTACTAGCCTCTTCCTGATATGTATAGTATATATATATGATATATAACCCTCCTATGTAACTGCAAGCTTGCCTTGACCTACTTTTCCCTCTCTCCCTTCCCTGGCCTTGTACCATGGTTCTACTCTGTTTCTGTGACTATCACGAGTTTAGATTCCAAATGTAAGTGATATCATTTGGCATGTGTTTATTCTGCACCTGGCTCATTTCATTTAACACAGTGTCCCCTATGATCATCCATGTTGTTCCAAGAGACAGAATTTCCTTCCTTTTTTAAGTCTCAGCAATGTTCCACAGGGTGAGGTTACCACCTTATGGAACTTCCTCTAATCTGTATGAGTATTAAAGGGCCTCATATATAATTTCTGAGGGTGTTGGGAGGCATGTGTATTATGTTGTCAACGTTTTGAACAGAATAGGACTCTGAGCTGACCAACTACATGACAGCTCCCCGGGGCCCCAATTACAGCCACAGCGACAGTCAAGGACAGAACCCAACCATGTCAGAGACCTGCGGGCTTCTGTTGATTGGAAGTGATAGATTCCATGTGAAGAGTTTTGTAAGTAACAGAGAATTCAGTCTAATAAATGTGAGAAAGATGGATCTGTAGCATATATACACATGCAGCCTGTAAAACATAAGCTGGTTTGACTAACTTGTAAATGCAGTGAGAGCCATCAGAGTCTGAATAAGCAGATTCCTTCAGCAATTCCTAAGAGCAGGAACTAGTTACAGAAAGTCATTAAAGGACCTAGTAAGCTAGACACAGACTGTTGCTAGCCTCGGGTCAATAGAGGTGTACCTTTGATTTGCAATCTCTACTTTCATAAATGTCTACAGTAGGACTTTTGATTTGTGAGTTCCAGATGCCACAGATTCATCTAACCACATATCAAGAATGTTCTGTAAAAAATTACATCAATACTGAACACATGCAGATCCCTTTTCTTTGCTAATACAGTAGAGCAGCCACATTCATAGCATGTACATAGCAGCAAGTATTAAAAGTGATCTAGAAATAGTTCAAAGTCTGATGGTGGGTGCATAGAGAATCTATACAAAGAGCATACGGTTTTTCTTATAAGAAAGTTGAGCACCCATGGACCTTGGTATCTGCAGGGATCCTAAGACCACCCCCCAGAGACCCCAAGGGACCATGTAGGGTCCTATTCTGACTGATATCACAAATCCCACCTGAATCTGGCTTTAATTCTGCCAGAGCATGTGTAGAGAGCTGCACAGATGCCTGGACCCCTCAGTCCTGCTCCATGTCTCTGAGGCTGAGGAGCCCAGCCCTCATCAGGACAACACAGCAGAATCCAGGTCTGGCTGTAGGGAACCTCACTGTGCTACACAGTAGCAAAGCTCTTAGTGATATTTCATGCCTTTGAAATCTTGCCATGCTTCTTCCACCTAGATAACATCATCAAGAGAATATTTAATATTTTGAAGTTCACCTGGGTCCTTTTCCTCGCCACCGTCGACAGTTTTACCACTTGGCTCAACTCCATTTCAAGAGAACATATTGACATATCGACAGTTCTGAGGATGGAGAGGTGCATGCTGACCCGAGAGATTAAGAAGGTAATGCTGTGGACATCCTTCTTCTGCTTCTCCCACTTTCAAAAAGCTGCCAAAGTCAACACAGGATGTGTTTTTCTTCCCCAAAATACTTTGGACCAGAAGAGTTTTAAGTTCCCAGAATTTTTTTGTATTTTGAAGTATTTTCATATACATAATGAAATATATTGGGATGGGAACCTAATCTAAACATGAAATTTTACTTACATTTCATAAATGCCTTGCATACACAGCCTTAAAGTAATTTTTTACAGTATTTTTAGTGTGCTTACATTTTACCTGCAGCTATACATGAGTTCTTGTGTGGAATTTTCTACCTCTTGGCATCATGTCAATATTCAAGGGTTTTCTAATTTCAGAGCATTTTGAATTTCATATTTTTAGAGTAGGTATACTCAACCTGTATCTAAAACTCTAAGACAAAGTCCTATCTTTTGGGAAGCTATAGAACCCTTTTGCTTTTACATATATTTAGATCTATTCCATGCTCAGAGTTAAAATGAACAGAGAGAGAGAGAGAGAGAGAGAGAGAGAGAGAGAGAGAGTCCTGGAGAATTGCCTAGTTTATTCATTTTCTTTTTCAGACTATAGCTTTTCTTTGTGCAGTAGAGGATTATAGCTTTACTCTAGGAAGCATCATCTGACACATCATCCAGGAAAAAAATTAGGATAGAAGAAAATATATGATTTATAGATTGTATTTTAAAGTAACAGTCTATTTCTGGAAAAGTTACTATGATATAACAAAATTGTCTACATATAAAGAATTATCTAATGTACTAATTACCTTAGTCTTGCTGTGATAAAATACCTGACAAAAGCAATTTAAGGAAGGAAGGGTTGATTTTGGTTCACAGTTTGAGGGACTCTAGTCCATCATGCCCATGGCAACAAAGGCATGGCAGCTAGAGAGCGACGCACATTCAGGAAACAAAGAGGTGAATGCTGGTGCTCTGCTGGCTACCTTCATCTTCATTCAGTCCAGGACAGTAGCCCATGGAATGATGCTGCCCACATTCCCATCATGTCTGCCCTCTTCAGTTAAACCTCTCTATAAGCACCCTCAAAGAAATACCCAAAGGTGTGTTGTCCTAGATGACTGTAAGTCCAGTCAAGTTGACAGTGAAGATTAACCATCACATTTAGTAATGTTGAGCAATATTAATGACTATAAATGACCTGACATCAATCCTCATATTAATTGGCATGTGTCAGTCCTTACTATAGATACGCATAAATGCTAAGAGTTGTGAGTACCGAGAATTGCTGGCACTATTCAGTGTTCCATAAGAATCATGGTAATATCCCCCTTTCCACAGGGCAATGTTCCAACGCGGGAAAGCATTCATATGTACTACCAGAACCATATCATGAACCTTTCCAGAGAGTCGGGACTGGACACAATTGACGAGCACCCTGGAGCTGCCTCCAGGTCCCAGACAGCTCATAGGATGGATAGCTTAGATTCCCATGACAGTATCTCCAGGTATTTCATTTTCTGAACAATGGGTTTGTTTTTGACACAGTGAATAAGGTGGATGCCAGCAAATATGAGAAATGAATGTGTGAAGTGAGTGTTAACCGAAACCATGGGTGCATCCCAGACCCTACAGATGATCCTTATCCATTCAGCAATGTTGAGAAAATATTTGAGACCAAACTGGATCCAAGCAGATATCAACGATGAATGGCTTCAAGTACCCATATACATCACTAATAGTATAGAGATTTATCAGCCAAGGCCATTTTGAAGGTCTACTGTTGGGTGAAAGGCAGCTGTCTAGAACAGGCAGATAAAGATAAGGGTCATCTCCTAAGTGGTTTGGGTCTGAGAAGAGTCTCTGACACAAGGCCATTGCCTCCTACACCAGAAGCAAAGACAGATGTCTTTTGCCTAACAGTAGACCTTCAAGATGGCTCCAGACTCACACTTCTCATACCCTGTGAGGCAAAGTGGCTGCCAGGGTACTTTTCCTTCACAAATACTGACTGCATTTCCTTCTGGATGAAAAAGAGGTGGGAGGAGAGGGTATCACTTTATTGATACCAAACCCCCAAATAGAAAGTAGAAATCAAAGGGGCAGAAGATTTAGCTTAGTTGGTAAAGCACTTGCTTAGCCTGTGCAAGGCTCAGGGTTTAAGCTCTTGTAGCAGTTTAAAAAACCCTTGAAAATCAAAACTGCAATCAATGGGGGAAGGTAGTTCAAAAGAATTTTTTACCTTTAAGTACAACTTTTTAATTGTCCCTAAATTGATGTATTTGAGCTGCCCAAATAAAGAAACTCAAATACAGCAATCCACCTTGTCTTTTGCTACTCCGTTATTACCTATTAATGCAGGTCCAGATGTATTGGTATGGAAATATT